ATAATATGTATAAATATACATATATAATATATATATTTATTCCACACAGGCTAAACGCATAAACATTATGAAAAGTTAGTCATTAAAAGCTCATTTAACAGAAATGAATAGTCACTTCAACAAACTTCAGCAAATATCCAAAGCCTTTGTTTTAATACAATGAACGTATAGCAGTACATTTGACTGATATCCCCATACAAAAGAGCTTATGGCGAGTCGACGGTTGATTAACCGCTTGGATGCTAAGCCCCTTTCAATACTCCATATTTGTTTTATAGCTATCTATGATTTTTCTCCCGTGACCATGATTGCTGTAAAGCATTCTAAACGTGAAGAACCGAAAATAAAATAAATCGACGAAAAAAACGAAAAGATAACTTTATTTAACACTAGCGACTCAACCTCGTTTCACTCGGTTTCGTACCTGGTTGATTCTTCAAATTGACATAACTTTTTTTATTTATGAACCGATTGAAATAAAACAAGCACTAAATGTCAAGTAAGCTTACCAAAATACATTATTGAAAACTGTACCTAAATCGGTTAAGCCGTTTTGGAAGTTAGCGCGCACAAATGCACAGACAAACCGATAAACAGACAAAAAATGTAAAAATCATTTTTTTGGGTTATATTGCGTCAATAAAGACCCCAAGACCAAAAAGGAAGAAGTGAATAATAGTTTTTCTAAAATATCTTCCATGTACAGATAGCGATTAATTACACTTTTTGACTCCCGACGCAAAAAGAGGGGTGTTATAAGTTTGACGTCGATGTCTGTCTGTGTGTGTGTGTGTCTGTCTGTGACATCGTAGCTCTCAAACGGATAGACCAATTTCGATGCGGTTTTTTTTTTCATTTGAAAACTAGTTTCTTTGCGGTGGTTCCTAGCTATATTTAGTTAATATCGGTCCAGCAGTGTAAGATTATCAGCTCTTTTCCAAAATGATGTAAGGCATTATGGCGTATGATTACTCGATTAAGTTTTTTAATTTTTAAGGATGGTTCCTTAAACTAAGAGTGTTTTTTGCGTAGGGAGTTTTTTAAATTTTAAATTTATAATTATTATATTTTATGTATAGATGTCAAATATTCGCGTAAATGTAAGACAGAAAATACGATTTAAAATTAGCGACTTACACTCGCTTCGCTGTCACTATGCCTTACACGAGCCTATGTGCTAATTCCGATCATAGTCTGTGTGCTTAATTTTATTCAAATCTGTCCAGATGATTTATATATATATATACTATATAACTTTCAAATGGAATAGCTCACATAGCATTCTGAGAATATCGATAGTCTAGAAGAGTATTATATTTAACTAGCGGACCCGACAGACGTTGTCCTGTCTACACGTCTTTAATTTGAAAATTTCAAACTTTTTTAAATAATTTTTTTGATGAAAATTATTATTCAAATTGTGAATCTAAACCATTCCCAGATCCCCTTCAACACACACAAAAAATTTCATCAAAATCGGTCCAGTCGTTTGAGAGAAGTTCAGTGACATACACACTCACAGAAGAATTATATATATAAAGATATGACCTTTTTGTACTTGAATGCGAGACAACCCAATATAATTTCTTTCACTATTTCTTTAAATAGAACCTATATTCTAATAAAATGTTTGGTAATAAATAAATCTATCACCAAATATTTCATTTTGCCTTTAAATGGAGCGTATAATAGCAATTGTTATTTAACATTAATGATGAATTACGTATTGTAGGTAATCTATACATGTGACAAAATTCTGAGTCATTATTATCGATACAGAGGCCGAATCTATAGCTGTTAGAATTATAGCCTGGACAGATTTTGATAAAATTTAGTATGATGATAGCTGGTTATGCGGTGCAATATATAGGATACTTTTTAGATTGGGAAAATATCTCATCTCTGAGAAATGTATAGTAAACGTATAGTAAAAGTTAACTAGTATATTATGTATATTATATAAGGTGTTACGTCATTTGTTGTTTTTGTTGTTGTCATGTTTAAAGTATACATTCTGCATAAATAATAAATGCTTTAATGACGTAAATATGGCTTACTTTGTTTTAATTATTCCTTTATACTTTTTCCATTGGCTCTAGAGTCGAAGTGCTAAAATCTTAAAAGATAAAACACCTCGCCTTATCGCTTTTACTTCCGGATATTACGATAAGAGGGACCTTTTGTTAACTAAAGAATCAGCATTGCGAATCAGTGGCGTAATTTATTTTTGCCACAATTTTCGCGGACATGACTTGTACAGTAATTGTTAAATTTATATTTGTTTTATATAAATTAAACTAGCGACTTACCCTCGCTCCGCTCAGTTTCGACCCTTGGTACGTTTTAGCGGTTAGTATAGATTTCTCAGAAATGAGATATTTTGCCGCAGTAAAGAGTATCCTACGAGTATATGTTAACTCAGACAACCAACTATCATCATACCAAATTTCATTAAAATGAATATTTTGCAGTTCCAATAATATTACATATATACGTGTCGAATTGATAGCCTCCTTTTTTTGAAGTCGGTTAACAATTACAAAAATAGAGGAATGCACTCCATGACATGAACTCCAACTGAGAGGGAAAAGTTTTGAGTCCATATAGATATAGATATTTTTTGAGAGGAATCAGATTTTATATCTATAGAAAATGATTCAATTAGTAAGAATTCACTAAAAATTGCAATATATTTTAGTATCCAACCGAAAAGACACTTTTACACTACAATTCTACTGCAAAAGCTTATATTTGAAACGATATCGGTATATAGAACGGCTGGCAAGCTATCAATCAACCGTTAGTTATTGGGTCAATACTTCAGATTAGATGAATAGTGCTACGTGAATTGAAAGAGAAATAGGGTCGGTAACTATCTTCCAAAGTCTGTAGCTTTTAACGTTCTTAACTCTTCTATCTATACATTTATTTAACTCACACTAAATTCTAATATTGATACAGTATTTTCAATCTTTTCTTTATGACAAACCTAATAATGACTAACAAATATTTTATTATATTAGAACATAAATGTAATAAAATAAATTTACTTAAGCCACAACTTTTTTATTTAAGACAAGCGACTCACCCTCGCTCCGCAGTACCGGTTAATGGTTAACGGTTAGTATACCTAGATTTTTCAGAGATGAGATATTTTCTCACACTAATAAGTATCCTAAATGTTGAACTTGATATCCAGCTATCATCATACCAAATTGCATCAAAATCCGTCCAGTAGTTAATATTTAAAAAGTTGTACGGAAAAGTTAAAAATTTGGGTTAAAAAATAAAACAGCGAGTTAACAGATGCAAGTTTAGTTGTTCAGTTCCTTCATCATGACAACAATATTTAAAAAAGAAATTCACAGTTTTGTCAAAATTTTAGATAATTAATTATATTTATCTATACAAATATTATAAAGAGGTAAAGTTTGTGAGTTTGTAAGGTTGTAGGGAGGAATCTCAGGATCTACTAAACCGATTTAGATGAAATTTGGTAAGAAGATAGTTTGAGGACCTGGAAAGGATAAAGGATAATTTTTATCCCGGAAATCTTTCCTTAAGGGTGTGAAAATGGGGATGAAAGTTTGTATTGGGAAGCAAGCTAGGGACGAACCCGAGCGAAGCAAGGGTGAGTCGCTAATTTAAAATAAATAAATTCATACAAACGCACTATAATTGACTAAAGTTTTAAATGAGACAGCATTATACTCAAGTTTTAAATGTTAAACACGACGACCTTATAAAATACTCAATCGAAGTCATGCATTTTAAATTAAGCTACAAGAATATTTTACGGCGCCTCCATTAAAGCGTTTTAAATCGATTTTCGAACTCCAAAGCTTAAAAAATTGTACACTTTCCTTTAAAACTGTAGCTGTATTTAGTGTCCTTTTTTACGTTTTTTATTGAGTTCCAGTTCCACAGTACCAAATAAGAATTTGGTACCGGAACTGAAAATCCACGTACTCTTGTAAGTGGATTTTTTCACTTCGAATGGTTTTTTTTATTCGATACCTCCGTGATATATTTTGATCGACTCAATAAAACTGGAAACAGTCAAAATGGCTTACAGATTTTTCATTAATTGAACAGAAATTGAATGACTATTACGTTTTAAACAAAGTTTAGTTTTAAGATTTAAGCATTATATTTAACTGTACTATATTAATAAATAATAACTGTGGTTTTTTTTTATATTTCAGTGAAAGCTTAGGTCTGAAATAAGAATTTATGATACATTTATAATTATTGTTATAGTCTAAGATCCCAATCTATATGGTGGACCCCTCACTTTTTTTCAGGCGAATTATATTTTTTAACCATAAAACATATTAAACACGACCCAGAAGAGTTGTCACCAAAATTTGCTCCAGATTATTTTGAATATTTGTACTCATAATATTGGTGCTTATATTTATAATAACTAGTATGTGTTTAAAGTTAGCAGTAGTGTATAGACTATCTGGTATCTATAACACAAGCCTCATAGCTTACCATGGAACTAGATGGTGCTGTGTGTTAATATCCTGACATAATTATATATTTATTGATTTAAAAATTATGTTAAATAAAATTATTTTATCAGAATTTTTTTTATTTTTTTCTTTGTTCCAGACCTTTCCTACAAATACAGTTTCGAGAGAAACTAAGATTTATGTCGTCTCAAAATTTATTACAGACTGTGTCTATATATTACTTTTATTATTATGTATATTATAAAATTATTAAAATAATTTTATAATATATAACTTATCCTCATCTTATCGCCTCTACTGGTGACAAGAGGGCTGGCGCATTTTTCGCCCAAAGAATCGGCATTGCCATTCAACGGGGGAATGCGGCTAGCATTCTTGCCACTATTCCACGCGGACATGACTTGTACAGTAATAACTAAGTGTACATTTGTTTTGTATATATAATTATATAATTAAGTATATTTTATTAAAAACGTCATACTCAACCGTAGAATATTTCAAATTATATTTATTTGTTCACAGAACCGGCGGTGGAGGAGGAATGTTCGGTGATGTCAATATTTCAGCTATACTGGACTCATTTAGCATAAGTTATGACAAAAGAGTAAGACCTAACTATGGAGGTTAGTAAATATTTGTACTAAAAAGGTATAATAACAGAAGTTTGCTAAAACAATAAAATAATATAAATCCAACAGTCTACTAACTTTTATCAAAAAGGTTATAGCAAATATTAATAACCGTGTTATCATCTCAAGTAATATGAGCGTATATATTATATTATTTAATACGAATTGATCTGATTATAATATTTTCATTACAAGTCATTGTTATTTGACTTATAAATTTATCTTTTAAGCTAATAAAACCTTTATATAAAACACATTTTTTGTGCTAAAAATTCTAGAAATATCGCAGAAAACCAAAAATTAAGCGTTCACTATAAACCCATATGAGGATTCAGTTAGTCTCGATATGCTCGTACCTACTAAAGCTAATATCAGCTAATATTATTTTTTTAAAACTACTCACAAATATACTTGACAAATGAGAACGATACATTTAAACCAAAAAAAATGTTAGCCTGTTGCAGATTTACACCTAATTTATACGTTAAATATAAACAATTTCCGTTAATAATACAATTGTTGTGGTAAGAATAATTTACTGTTATAACAACCCGCGTGCTTAACGAATTGACGAAACAAGCTTAGAAATATAATTATGGTTGACTAGCAGAACCCGCGGCTTCGCTTACGCTATAACTACAAAAAATATCTAAAAAGGTAGTTTCGTACAAATTTTCATCCCCGATTTAATCCCCTTATAGAATGAATTTCGAAAAATGCTAAAACACGTATTTATTTTGTTTTAGTAAAATGTATTAATATCAAATTTCAAGTAATTCTGATCATACATATTTTTTTATAATATATATATTATCGTGTTTTCCCGTGGGAATGAGATAATCTCTCGCGGTAAAAAGTAGCTTATGTCACTCTCTAGCCCTCCAACTATCTCCACACAAAAAATCACGCCAATCTGTCTCTTCGTTTCGACGTGAAAGAAGGACAAACAAACAAACACACTTTCACATTTATAATATTAAGTATAGATTTTTATATATTGATGAGGGTTCATTTCCCTCGCTGTCGACCCATTTTAATATTTAATACGATATTTATGTATGCGATCCAGTTACAAACTTTCGCGTGAAATGTTTTTAAATAAAGTTAAATGTTGGAAGTACGCTGCAGCATGTGTATTTGTTATTATACCAGCCATATTTGGTTTAAACGAATATTTCAAAATATTTTTTTGGCTTAAAATTCATAGCAATATCTAAATTAATGAACATTGAACGACTTTTATAGAGGAGTCACTTATTTCGGGTGTATACATATAATATTTTGTGTATAAAGTATATTTTCGCAATATCACCACAAATAATAATTTTCATATTTTTTTATCAATAGGTGAAGCCCTTGTGATCTAATCAGTTTAAAGATTTTTATTTCCATGAAAAATGCACAAGTTATGGAAAAAATAAAATACAGTTGAAAATAATTGTTGTATATAGTCTTAAATACATTGAATTAGTCTACATATTTAAAAGTAGGCGGTAATTATTATAAAAAGCACTCGTATGTTAACATTTTTTCGCGTTCAGTTCTGGTTTTATATAAAGCTAACAAACTGTAGATGTAAGTTAACACCTCCAGGTAAATTTTAAAGAAATTAATTATATTTCTAAGAAATTTATTGTTAACTGTAACGCCGGCGTGTCCGCGGTCGCGGAGGGATTATAAATATATACATATATTATATACTAGCATTGCCCGCGGCTCCGCCCGCGTTCAGATAACCAAAACCAAATTCTTAGGTTTTACATATTATTAGTATACTCTTACATTGCAGTTTTTGTATTTTTTCTAAGAAATTAGATATTTTCCCGCAGTAAGAAGTATCCTATATGTTGACCCGGATAACCAGCTATTACCATACCAAATTTCATCAAAATCCCTCTAGTGGTTTTCCGTGATGCGATAACAGACAGACAAACAGACAAAAATTCTAAAAACTATAGATTCGGCCTCTGCATCGATAATAATGTCTATTTCAATAAGATTTTCCAAAAAATATTTGATGTACAGATTCGGCTTGTTTAGAATTTTATTATAATATGTATAGATTAAGTTAGAGTAAACCTTAAATCTTTTTTGGTTTCGTTTTAGTAATCTGAATCAAAACCAAATGAATGGTACAGGCAAAGAACACGGAAAGTCACAATTATTGTTGTTTTATTTTTTATTTTGAACTGGTAACGAATCTGTGTATATGGTAGTTGCATTCCCAACCACTGGTTTTTACAAAGACTCAATGGATTTCGCTAAAAATACGTTTCTATCTATACCCAAAGAGAAAAAATCTGGGAATGTCCATTACACACCGGTAAAGAAGGAGGGTTGTCCAAAAATGTACATAGTTAAAGTTACTGTATACTTTGTTTTCAATAAACATATATATATATATATATTATAACTTCTAAACTTTATTTGTTTTTTTTTCTCAAAATATATATATTAGGACATTGTCTATGCTTTGCTTGTACCCTTGAAACAACAATGAATAACTACATAAACACTATTCCCCGTACAAATTTTCATCCCCATTTTCACCCCATTAAGGGATGTTTTGCGGTATAAAAAGTATTCTATGTCCTTTCTAACGTCCCAAACTATCTTCTTGCCAAATTTCATGTAAATCGGTTCAGTAGATTACCCCCTACAATCTCACAAACTCACAGACTTTACCTTTTTATTATAATATTATGTTAGTATAGATAAACCAAAGGGACGTAATAACATGCAATTTAACTTGGTAATTGTTATTGTATATTAATAATTTAATTAAACCTTTCAAGAATTTCCAAGTTATAAATTAAATAAACATCAATATATGTAATTATTTGAAGTCATATTTTATTAAAGCAGTGATAAAATTCAATTTATTTAGAACTAGCAGAACCCGCGGCTTCGCTCACGCTATAACTACAAAAAAAAACCAAAAAACGTAGGTTTCATCGGATTCTCATCCCCTATTTAGTCTCTTATAGGATGAATTTCGAAAAATGCAAAACCGCGTATTTATTTTATTATATTAACATGGAATTGAACATTAAATAATTTTGGAAAATCTTATTGATATAAACATTATTTTCGATACAGAGGCCTAATATATAGTTTTTAGAATTTTTGTCTGTTTGTCTGTCTGTCTGTCTGTTACCGCATCACAGAAAAACCACTGGAGGGATTTTGATGAAATTTTGTACGGCAATAGCTGGTTATCCGGGTCAACATATAGGATACTTTTTACCGTGGGAAAATATCTCATTTCTGAGAAAAAATACAAAAACTGCAATGTAAGGGTATACTAATATGTAAAACCTAAGAATTACGTTTTTGATCATCTGAACGCGGGCGGAGCCGCAGGCAATGCTAGTAGATTATAATGCGGCATGTGGAATATAAATATGCGATATTTTACTTCGATCATTGTGACTAAAAATAAAATATGAGCGTAGATTTTTATTGAGGGCCGCATCGCAACGATAATATCACATGAAAAATGTCTCTCACGTGATATTATTGTTGCGAGAATGTCGATAGCAAGGAGAAGTTCGCGTAAGTGAGAATTCCGCCGATATTCGCCCGGAATTTACGCTTTAACCCATTTCACGTATGAATATTTTAAAAATTGTACATATTTTCTGAAGCTTATATTATGGATATAAATATTTACATTTTATTTATTCGAGTATTTTTATGTTATTGTATTGAATAATCAAATGAAACTTAGTAAGGCGTCTTACATGCAGGAGTATATATGCATTTAATTTGAAAAAAAAATGTATTTATTTATATTGTTATAAGCCTCGTACCTGACAGGGACATTGGAAGCCTATTTTTTATGTTAATTAAGTAAGAACTAGCGCAGCACCTAACGAATACGCGATGTTAAAATATATATATTTTTTTATAAATATGTACATTTTTGTTTCGTTAAATAGTTAAGAAAAAATTAAAAATTTCCTCTCCATTCTAAGGAGATCAAAGTGAAATCTCATATTTCTTTCTCCATATATTTTCTGTTTGATATAAAAAAAAAATTACATACAAATTAGCAGAAAGCGTTTTAAAAAGGACCTGTGGTGATTACACATGTTGTTTTTTCCAGCAATAACAAGAGCTCAGCTATGTGACGGAAAATACCCTATTTTTAAGTAATATGCATAATATGCACGTACGACTTGGTTTTATTATTTTTTACATCATTAATCTCTCTTTCTCTCTCTTGGAACCCAAAATTTCAAAGAAGATTTATAACTGAAAAAAAATCTTAAAGAAATCGATATATATATATATATATATATCGATAATTTTAATCTTCTAAACTAATAATATAGAAGAGATTTAATCTCATTTCAAGAAAAATATGACGTGAAGTTTACAGATTTTAATTAAAGTTTTTGACAAATCACTCTTAGATACGTGCAAATCTTAAAATCTACTTTAGTACTGAATGGTAATATTTTTTTTAATCTGTTTGCCATTGTTTTACTTATTCTGCTAGGAAACGTAGATTCATTTCGTGATAACGATCAATATTTATCTTGTTCGTATAGAATGCAAACATTTGTCATGCTAAAAGAACATACGCTCAAAACTACGTCCAGTTGCAAATGAAAAATAGTGTGGACCAAACATAGTTTACTTAGTTTTTTATGTTTGCATCTCTACCAGAAAAATCTATACATATAATATAAATTATGAATCGTACATTAAACATTTTTTGGAGAATCTTATGGAAATTGTCATTATTATTGATACAGAGGCCGAATGTATAGTTTACAGAATTTTTATCTGTCTGTCTGTCTGAGAACGCATCACGAGGAAACCACTGGACAGATTTTGATGAAATTTGGTTTTACAATAGATAGTTATCCAGGTCAACATATAGAATACTTTTCACTGCGGGAAAATATTTCATCTCAGAAATCTATACTGACCCTTAAAACGTAGGGACAAACCCAAGCGGAGCAAGGGTGTTTCGCAAGTTGTACTATACAAATCATGAATTAACAACGATATTTGCTCTCTATTTCTGTTCCAAGAAAATCTTGTTTGAAATACGTATACCTGTACAAAAAGCTTCCAAAAGGCGTAAAATTCCGTCCATCATAAGCAATAATGAACGAATTTTTCTTCGATACTACTCCTCTTGTATTTTACTTTCTCTATTTTTCAAACGATCCTAATTGAAAATTTTCTCATTAACAAGATTCTTATTTAAAAAATATTAGTAATAATTTATTATAAATCTTTTGATATTTTTATAAATCCTGCGTTCAAATAGCTTTAGTTCGTCTAAAGCTCATCTTTATAAAAACCTTTATTCTACGTATTATAAGAATTTGTCAATTTTAACCAGTCATAATACATTATATTAATCTTAGCATTCAGTATATAAGAAATGTCAGTATAATATTTATTTCAAATAGAGTAACAATCAATAGTTAAAATAAATCAAATCGAATCAAAATATTTTATTCAGCATTAAATTATTACAATTTTTACTGAACGTCACGAGTCTTCTACCAGTTCGGAAAGAAGAAGCCTCAGACTTGAGAAGAACTGGCGAAAGAAACTCAGTACGGTACTCAGTACTCAGTATGAATACAAATATAATAAAACACGCTTACGGCTATATAGAATAAAACTGCAATATCTATTTAAGCGATAAATAAAACCAAACTGCATTTTTAGTATACAAAATTTCATTATAAAATTTCAAAATAGACAAAAATTTAATTTTGTTGTTGTAACGTAGGTATATTTGCACAATTTCGATGCATACTCGTAGCCGTAGGCCAAATAAGACTAATTACCGATGTTTATTGTTCCAGGGGCTAGTGAGGGCTTCGGTATAAATCAGTCTATCACACGCCGTATATCTGATTGTGAACATCGTTTGCAATGTCCTTAAAACATAGTGCATTTATTACCCGACCATTTAAAATGCATTGCAATGTTTTTCGTTGTTCGTATTAATATATTATAATATTTTTTCTCATATATCTTCCATGTACAGACAGCAATCAATTACTTTTTTATTACATGTGTAGATAATAATATGGCTTTACAATAAATTAGCTTAGTACTCGTATATAAAATTATAATCCATTATAATATTATAAATGTGAAAGTGTGTTTGTTTGTTTGTTTCTTTGTTTCTTTGTTCGTTTGTTTGTTTGTTTGTTTGTTTGTTTGTTTGTTTGTTTGTTTGTCTGTTTGTTTGTCTTTCTTTCACGTCGAAACGGAGTGACAGATTGGCGTGATATTTTTATCGCGAGAGATTATCTAATTCCCGCAGAAAAACACGTTATAATACAATTAAAAAAAATATTTGTGATCAGATTGACTTGAAACTTGGTATTAATGCTCTTCAATAAAATTAAATAAATACGTCTTTTAGCATTTTTCAAAATTTATGCTATAAGGGGATAAAATAGGGGATAAAAAGTTTGTATGAAACTACTTAAACTACAGTAAACTATTTTTTAGAGATTTTTTGTAGTTCTAGCGCGAGTAAAGCCGCGGGTTATACTAGTGATAAATAAATAAAAATTTGCTACTATTTCTAAACTCAACAAAAAAAACTATTCTGTTAATAATTTAGTATAAATAAATATCTCAATATCTCAAAAACGTATCTAGAATAAATATAATATTGAACGGATATAGCTTATTGTGAACTTTCATTCATATTGGCTCGTACATATTGCATTGAAGTGCAAGATGCTACGGAGCTACGGGAACATCTGTAGTAAGCCACTTGAAACCGTATTGAAATGATTAAACTTGTACTACGATACTATTACTACTACAATTTACTATTTTCTCAAGGTCTTTACTATATTTAGAACAGAATTTATTATTAGATTATGATGGCGTAAGTTAACAAGTTTTCTTTTGTACAGTAAATCTGAAGTTAGTTTACACGAATTTAATATTATTATGGGGGCAAAGTCATATTTGTATTACTTTTATCTATACATATAAGACATATAGAGGGTGAATCTATTGTTTTTAGAATTTTTGTCTGTCTGTAACCGTATCACGAAAAAATCAATAAACACATTTTGATGGAATTTGGTATGATGATAGCTGGTTATCCGGGTCCAAATAAAGGATACGTTTTACTGTGGGAAAATACCTCATCACTAAGATAAATGTTAAAACGTGACTAGAGACGAAACCGAGCGGAGCGCGGATGAGTTTAGTAGATAATATATTTTGTATATACAGGCTGAAACAAATGGACGGAGGGGAGAAAAGTACCTCAAATAGTAAAATCAAGTTTTACTCAAAGGAAATATTATTTTATTTAGTAATTTTGTAAAGTATTGTGGATCTTTATGAAAGTAACAAAATCTTGATTCACTACTTTAATATAATTTAAAATGAATTAAGCAACGTGCGCTGGGAAACCTCTCAAAGAAATTTTAATCCTAAAGATTAGAATGAGATTAAATGAATGTCAGTATTTGTGTTAAAAAAAATGGTTCTTGCAATATATATTCTTCATTTATTGTAGGATGATATCTTATCTAAGTACTTTAATGCTGAAAGCTATATGGTTAAGAATGCTAAAACCCGTTTGGTTTTAGCATTCTTAAGATATGAACAGCTTTTGCCTGTGGCTCTGCTCCCACAGCAGATTTTTAGATTGATTATTTATGCATAATCGTTCCGCTCGTAAGGATCCCCGTGTAAAATATTAAATGGCCTGACCTCAAAAATAGGCTACGAAATGCGAATAGAATTTTTAAAATCTGACGTTATGTACAAAATACTAGTACAAATTCAAATAAAACAACTTCAAAAAAAGACGTACGTTATGATATTATCAATAGAATTTGAATAATTTCTTTAATTTACAGTTTAGAAAAAACCCTTTTCAGATAGTTTAAAATATATCAAATAAATAAATTCGTAACTAGACATATAATAAAATTGTAACTGAGCCGAAACTTTACATAAAATATTTTTTGAAAATGTTATTGAAATAGTCATTTTAATAGATACAGTGTCCGAATCCAGAGTTTTTAGAATTTTTGTTTGTCTGTCAGGGACAGCATCTCGATAAAATGATGATGGATAAATTTCGATGAATTTCGATCAAATTTGGTATGATAGTCGATCAAAGCTGGATATCTGGGTATATGTGATACATTTTACTGCAGGAAAATATCTCAACTATGAGAAAAAATACAAAAATTACATGCTAAAAATATTGTTCATGCTATAAATGTTGTTGTTAATAAGGAAAATGCAATATTATAAAATTAAATATGAGATTAAAGGAGAAACTTTTGTGGCATTGCCAATTACCGCCATTTATTCTCAATCTTGCAGTGCGCAATGTAACTGGTATATATTAATATATATAATGTAAAACCTAAAAATTGGTTTTTGGTCGCCTGCACGCAGGCGGAGCCACGGGAAACGCTAGTTCATAACAAGTTTTGACTCTCATTATTCTCCTAAACTAATTTAGAAATCAATAATTGAACTAAAACAAAATGCATATTACAATTCGATATACATATTTTTTTTCAGAAAATCTTTTACTCCATACTCTTATAATGGCATAAAGTACGCAATTCTTCAATCAATATAAATTGTAATTGTTAAACACAAGCAAAAAATATTTGTATTTTTAAATATAAATTCCAAATTTCAACGTATCATTGTGAAAAGACAAAATAATTTTAAAGCAAAATAATTTCAACCGCGCCTCAACTTCCGCATAGCTCGGGCTCTATTATAGTGTTAAGGAAAACTGTGAAATCTACTGCCATATAAATAACTTATGCGATAAACAATTGCATTCCCATTTCAATTGGATTTAAATTTATTTTATAAATGCGAGTTTCAATTTAAAATGTTAAATTCATTTATAATTCCATTCGAAAATAGTAAATGCAGTCCAATTAATACAAATTGATTGAAAACCACGCCGTTTTAAATGTTGATTTATCCAACAAAGCTTACAGAGCCATTTTTATTTTATTTTTTTTCCATTCAGTAGTTATAGTGCTAATTCTTCTGATTCTTGTTTACATTCATCTAGCTCTAATAACATTTCTGCTTTAAACAAAAATTAACGCATCGTGTCTATCTAGCACCAATTATTTTTTAACTTCTTCCCTTAAACTTCACGACGTAACGGTCACTTGTTATGTATATGTGTCGTTTTCAGGACCACCCGTGGAAGTGGGGGTTACCATGTACGTGCTCTCCATCAGCTCTCTGTCTGAAGTGAAAATGGTACCTTATATTCAAAGCAATATTAATGACACAGCGCATACATAGCAAGATTTGTCCTTTAGTACAATCACCAGCATTACCGTTCATTGTAGCACCCGTGTCCACGGTTCGATCCCATAGGCGTTAGTTGCGATTCGTCCACGCACCGCGCCTCTCGATGGGGTCCGTTATATCCTCTGGTTTGGTTTTCACGGCGCACCGCGCGCGAGACTCACTATTGGGCTTGATTGCAGGTCCGCCAGTGGAGGTGGGCGTCACCATGTATGTGCTCTCGATCAGCTCCGTCTCCGAAGTGCTCATGGTACTCGTCACTGTCAGCTCTTGCTTGACTCGATCGCTGAGCAGCCCCAGATACGAGGTTGCGAGCATGTCCGCGTTTGTCCGCAAACGCCCTTGTCCGCAAACTTGCTTTCTTATTATGTGTCCCCTGTTCCTTTGACTGTGTTGAACACATTTATTATGTGGCATCATAATAAGAAAAGCAATCAGTATACCTTAAAAATAATCAGGTTGTGTGTCCGTCAGTTTTCGTAATTCCAAAGACAAATCATTCAATGCGAAGTGGTGATGTTGGTCGTTTATGTAACCTCCCGCAACGTGTAAATGCTGCACCTCTAAATATACAGGTTATAATACTTTTAAATGTAAATAACATCATAATATAAACACTGGTAATATTTGTTCGAATAACGTCAACACTTCGTTTTCACATCGTTAAACAAAAATCCGAAAGTTGCGTTAAACGGTTGTCATTATATAGGTGTAAACTAAAGATATTCTATGGATTTGCGACGACTGTGTAATTCTTCGTCACTCATTTCGTAGTTTGATGTGTATGTACGTATGTGTGTATCTACTGATATTGCCTTAATGATCGTTACTTTCCACGCTCTCAAGTAATTTGGAACACCGGTTGATATAGTTCTACTTTTTTATATTCGCTTAAATTATTTTCGATATTATGTAATTTAGTGTATTGTAGAGACCATTTGACACGTATTATCACTTTATCCGGTCTTCCAAAGTATGTAATAGTTTGAGCTGCTAGGCGTTTGGGTGAAAGACCCCTAAGTGGAAACCAAATCAAAGCTGGGAAGGTCACAATAAGACGTGACCCATGGCCATAGAGAGGTTGTTTAATTACATACGAGTCACAAAGAGAACAATGAACGTTAACTTCTTCAAACATTCAAATTTTACACGTGGCAATTTGTGTACTTGTCGGCTTATTAGCTTCTATTAAGAGATTGCCTTTATCGAGCCGTGGGTGCCAGCCTGCGCCACCGCCCACTCACATCGCCCTATCCCACCACAAGCACCCATTTCATTTTTAGAATCACTTATTTTTCCTAGGCTTTGTGTCACACTACACTGCACTTTTTCCCTTATCAAGCTTCGCTCATTATTAAAAGTAATCTTCATGACGATTCTCAACACTAGGCGTTGAATTCAATGTTAGTCATAACGTAATACCATCCCGCGTCGCCATACACTTAGGATGATACGCTATCCGATCAACGCATGCAATATTTGATGTTTTTTATATAGCATTATTATTTTTAATTTTATCTACTTTTATTTTTTACATCTTATTCTCCTCTTACTGTATCTACAACTCATAGCTCTCACAACTATATTTCAAACATCAACAATCATCTTTAATAATAACATTACATTTGGAATCACTGAGGGTGAGGCCTGTGACTTGATCGCTGTCTACCAAATTACTAACATTACTTAGTCAACATAATATAATATGATCTAGGATCTATACAATAAAACTTACATACTTACTTCTTTCTTCAGGATTTTACGCTGGATTTCTACTTCAGACAATTTTGGACAGATCCGCGACTGGCTTACAAAAAGAGACCCGGCGTTGAAACACTTTCTGTCGGCTCCGAATTTATAAAGAACATATGGGTACCTGATACATTCTTTGTGAATGAAAAACAATCGTATTTTCATATAGCAACCACAAGCAACGAATTTATCCGCATTCACTATTCAGGCTCTATAACTAGGAGTATCAGGTACAGAAAAAAATACAAAAAAATTGCATTATTAAAAACTCACGTATCTCCAATATATTCATTGATATTAAAAATTCTTTAAAAATATGTACAAGAATATTTAAAAACCAATGCACATCAAATCAAATACCCACCAAAAGCTTGCCTTCAATAAATTCAAGTATAAGGAAAATTGTGAACGTGTATACACACACTTAATTCGATCTGTACATAATTGGTATTTTCAGATTAACTATTACTGCATCATGCCCTATGAACCTTCAATATTTCCCTATGGACCGTCAGCTTTGTCATATAGAAATCGAGAGTTGTAAGTATCTTGGCAATGACTTCTTATGTAAATTGTCTTACAAATAAATGTTGATATGTAAATTACACAGATTTTCAAGAAATTTTTATAATAATACAGTGTTTTTCTAATGTTTTGTATTTGTTATTATTAATATTATATATGTAATATGTATATTATGCATTTCAAAGAGTGTTTTGAAAAGACACGCTTTATATAATATGTATCGTGTTGTGTTATATATACTAAAGTTCCGAATCGGAGTCTTCGTTGGGTGATTTTTAAATTACATCGCTTAATATTTAAATACTCGTACGAAATGCGAGGCGAAAACGTTTCTACGATGATAGAAAAATAATAACTAAGCGTATTTAAGAGATGTGCGTGTGTTCACTTAAAGCAATCATTGATTTGATTCTTACCACAATGCAAATTATCACTAGGCTTACAGATATTGTGTTGTGACCACTTTCTTGTATCACAGATGCTACTCAGGGATACCCTGTGAGCACAAGCGTACAACTTATTCGTCGACACGTGCTGTGATTACCCTCGTGTTCTCATAAATTGGAATGTCTCCTTCTCGCATACAGCACCCGCAGAAGGCAGACCCGTAAATAGTAAGCCTTTGTCCTCACGAGCATTAAGCGAAAGAAATGATATTGTGACATCGACGCTGCGAAGCCGAGTGGGCCGAAGGAGGCGGGGTACGGCGGCCGCGGGTGTCAACCACCGAGGGCCGTGCCGCGGACGCGATAGCACGCACCACGCACCCCCGCCACCCGCACCCTGCACCCCCGTCCGAACCCGCCGGATCCCGCTCACTTTAGCACGCGCAAACACGCACCTCTACCACAGGCCGCAGTTGCACTCACGCTTTTCATCACCGGGCACCAGAGCATGACACTCGCATCTAAATGCTTCTATTTTCTTCTTTAATATAATATTTATTCAATTTTAAGCGCACCTACTCTAATATTAGATTTTTTTGCATACTCACCCAATAGATAGATCTAGTAGATTTATATTTTTCTATCATCCATCCCGAGCCGATCCGAGTTTGATAGATGAGACTCGACTCAGCTCGGTTAAGTCTCGCTCTATGCGCCCGCGTCACACCGTCACCAGCCATGAGGGATACGCGATGCTTCACAGCGTAAGTGATAGCGTTTTGTGTGTTTGGCATGTCTCCGGAGTCGGGTATACTATGAGAGACATTCGGTACCATTGGAAGGACGGGCTCTTAAGCGTCGGCATGAGCAACGAAGTCCAGCTACCACAATTCCGCGTGCTGGGCCATCGCCAGAGCGCCACCGTTGTAACACTAACCACAGGTAATCAGTTTTGCAATGCCCGCTGTCCAAGCATTGTCCATCCATTCTTTGCATCCGACCCCGTCTCCCTCAGCCCGTGTGCAGACGATCGATACGCGACACTGAGCACACACGCTAACTACAACATAACAAACGCATGACAAGACGCGCGAAAACGAGCTCGCGATCCCCGCTCTCACCCCGACCGAATAATGACTCGAGATTCAAAACCCATTGCGATGGGCCTGGGGTTTTTCATTTATGTATCCGCTGCGCACAGTCGGCTACACCATGAGGGACATCCGGTACAAATGGAACGAGGGGCCCAACTCTGTGGGGGTGTCGAGCGAGGTGTCCCTGCCGCAGTTCAAGGTTCTTGGTCATCGTCAGCGGGCCATGGAAATCTCCCTCACGACAGGTACTAAAAGCGGGGAAATCAGAAAGTAGGCGACGGAAAACTAATACTTTCATTACCAAACGTGAAACACTGAACATAAACAGCCACGAATCTTTTCACGTCCTGCTTTTGTATTTTTGCACTAACAACACTGAGTTGTGTGTTTTAGTAACGTCCGTTTATTTTAAGTGATTTCCTCTTAATTGTTTAGAATTTGAAATTGATCTTCACACTTAAAAGTTGAACCTGTTTCACTTATTTGAAGTAATTTAGATTTTAGATGAAGATTGTATAACGTAATAATTAATATTAGATAATAAAATATTGAGTTACAATTGAAATTATTATTTATTTAAATTTCATTCAGTTTATTCTAAAGATCTAACAGTAATTGGAATGTGTTACAGGAAATTATTCAAGATTGGCATGTGAGATACAATTTGTACGCTCTATGGGATATTATCTGATTCAAATCTATATACCATCTGGTTTGATTGTAATTATATCGTGGGTATCTTTTTGGCTTAACCGTAATGCCACTCCCGCGCGAGTAGCCTTGGGCGTAACCACTGTGTTGACTATGACCACTCTAATGTCTTCAACGAACGCTGCCTTGCCCAAAATCTCGTACGTCAAATCGATCGATGTTTACCTAGGAACTTGCTTCGTGATGGTATTCGCCAGTTTACTAGGTAATTATTTATTACTGTTATTATATTCTAATAGAAATAAGTTTATGAAATAAAATATTATGAATAATTGCAGACTGATACAACTATACATATTACTTCGTATCGCAGCCTTTATAGACGACATCATTTATATGCAAAATGCGAACGCTATTCTATAAAATGTTTGCGAATTTCTTATAATATTATTATTATATGCAAAGCGAAAAATTTTATATTTTATTTGTGAGTTTTCTACAGAAGATATTATTTTTCAACGCGAAGAAATATTCGAGGAGCCCTTTGATATGGACGGAGTTCTCTATCTTTACAGAATACGCAACTGTGGGTTATATGGCGAAGAGAATACAAATGAGAAAACAAAGATTTGTTGCTATTCAAAAAATCGCTTCCGAAAAGAAGGTGCCAGTCGACTGCCCGCCTCTTGGAGACTCTCATACTCTGTCCAAAATGGGAACATTGAGTAGATGCCCACCGGGACGACCATCAGTAAGTTATTCTTTCTTATTATGTCCCTCTGGTGCTAAGAACACTTTACTGTATGTGTCTTTTAATAGTTAGGCCAAAGCTTAGGTTCTATTCATGTTTCAGATATAATTTAACAATATCCATGAAAATCTTAAAAATGCTCAGAAAATGTTTTATTTGTCATAATTTAAGCCAATATGAAATGTCTATGTTAGTCTACGAACGATAAATGAGTAAATTTATTCCTAAAATGTTAGCTTGATAAGATTAGTATATTCCACTCCTTTAACCGAAAAAGTTGTTTAATTGTAGCAGTTTTGTTGAAAAAATAACATAAATGAATATTAATAATCTTCTCCAATAAAAATATAGGTAGTGTTGTTTTAAAAAATAAACACTCTTCTCATAAGACTAATTATACACACTAAGTCAATAATAGTGATTATTGTTAATAGCATTGTGTGCATATTAATTAATTTAATAAATTAATTAATTTGCCAATATGAGATGCGGCTAGCTTGAGACTTAGGGCGGGCGGTATTTCATTGGACAAACGTCTTTGTTTAATATCTTTGTTCAAGATAACATCAAAAATCTTTGACGATTGTTCTGTGCCAATGACTTTGTCCAATATTTAACCAAATTCCGTCATTGTCTAGAATTCTTTATCGTAGCACAGTGAGTGAGTTAGAATGAGATTTTTTATTAATACTTTTTGTATGCTTAACTTTGTTATTCTTGATTTTAGTGGAACGATTCAGTCAAATTAATTTCATCAATTGTGCAGTGTTAGCTTATTCGATGAAGAAATCCAAATTTGTTATCAAATATTGATTGAAAATAATAATGTACGAGTATGAATGAAAATATGGGTTAAGTTTGATAGGAGTCACACCACTCTAAGACCATAAATAAATCTTTTACCAAAATCCATACTTAATATCATAAATCTGAAAGTGTGTTTGTTTGTTTTTTGTCCTTTTTTCACGTCGGAACTAAATGATGTATTGGCGTGATGTTTTGTATGGAGACAGTTGAAATGCTGGAGAGTGACAAAGGAAATTTTTTTACCGCGGGAGATTATCTCATTCCCACGGAATAACACGTTATAGTACAATCCATAAAAATATGTATATAACAGAATTACTTAAAATTTGTTATTAATATTCTTCAATACAATTAAATAAATACGTGTTTTAGCATTTTTTGAAATTCATCCCATAAGGGGGTAAAATAGGGGATGAAAGTTTGTATAAAACCTAACTTTTTAGAGTTTTTTTATAATTTAACGCAAGCGAAGCCGTGGGTTCTGCTAGTATTAAATAAATAACTTATAATTATTTCAGGAAGTACGTTTCAAAGTTCATGATCCTAAAGTACATTCTAAGGGCGGCACTCTTGAAAACACTATTAACGGAGGTAGAGGAAACTCAGAAGAAGACAATCCTGGTCCTCCTCCGCACATACTCCACCCTGGAAAGGTAAATCTCTTCAATAGGAAAACTCACATTTTAGCTTTAAGTTGCTGAGCGATAAAACTATGCTTGCGTTACCGCCGTGCGAATTAAACATCGCGTGCTGTTATCGATAAAAAACCTTAATCGTACTATATTTAAAATATTCACGCAAAAGTATTAGAGTTACATATTAAATTTTAGTCTCACTTAAATGTTAAGGTTATTTAATTTATTAGTAATAGCTGATATTATCATGATTTATGAAATGGAGTTTATTTAGTCCAATTTTAAATATCCAATTATAATTTTCCAGGACATATCGAAGCTGTTGGGTATGACGCCATCTGATATCGACAAATATTCGCGCATAGTTTTTCCAGTTTGCTTCGTGTGCTTTAATCTTATGTACTGGATCATATACCTTCACGTGTCAGACGTCGTGGCTGACGACCTGGTTCTTCTGGAGGAGGATAAATAGAGGGTGTTCATTTCTATCCACTTATTTTTCCACAAACAATATATTAAATTGAAATAATCATAGCAATAATAAATATGACATAGAATTTAAAATCTATCGTAAACTACTTTAGCGTCTCTTTACTCAGTAAATTCATTTCGAAATGGTAGATATATTCTACATAGTTGTATCGTTTATATATATATATATATATATATATATATATATATATATATATAAACGATTCAACTATGTATGATCGTTTATAAATATAAGTTAAAAGATAAATTAATTAATTGTAAATATTAAAAGACTTGAATGATACGAGTAATTATAAAGTCACATTACTTATAAGAAGTAAATTGTTTTCCTGTAGTTTGAAGTAGAACAATCGACTGAATCGTCATATTTTAAGAATGTCCAAATTAAATTTTATTTAATTTTCTATTTTAACGTAAAATTAATATTATAAAATAAATAATTATATTATTTTAATTTAAATGTTTAACAAATCTAATAAAGACAACGATATGTTAACAATTAGAAATTTTATTTGGCGTTTTTAAAGAACTAAGGGTTCATCCCTTAAGTAAATCAAGTTGTTTGTGCGTTAAATTATTTCAAAATATTATTTGTGGTAAAATGAGTGGAGCGTTAAAATATATTATATTGTATATCTGATGCTCAAAATTTCTGCTTAATTATTATTATTAATTAGTAGAATTTGTACTTTTGTTTAAAGTTTAGACTCGTTTATTGTTTGCAAATTCTATGTTACTGTTATTACGTCACTAGGTATTTTATTTCGATTGTAGTTGCAAATCATTTAATAACATATTGATGATATAATTTAATTTTAATATATTAGCTTCATGTTGTAAACATGTAAACGTATCATAAAATGAATGTTTTGATTAAGCGATCGACTCTGCTTCTCATTGATATATGCATGTTATTTTAAATTACGATATTTTTAATATTTTAAGTTTGCTCGAATCTGATCTTGGTATGGAGTTGATTAAGTTTTAAGCTCGATGATATTTTTAATGAATTTCAATAGAAATAACAATAATAAATAATAGACATAGATTATTCAAGCAAACCATATTTTATTTATATTAGAGGGAGAGTACTTATAAATATTAAAATAATGAATTAATTTACATCATATTATGACATAATATTTTATGGGCATTTTAACGATTCTTAACAAATGTACAGGCTATGAATGTTCTACTTGTCGAAAAATAATAAAAAAAATCACCTGTAGAGTGCATGCGCGATTTGTTAACTGCAGAGCCTCTAGCATGTATGATCTTTACCTTACACGTTGTACATATTAAATTTCAAACCATGTATGAATAGAGAAAATTAGCTTATTAAATAGCTAAAAATAAATTAATAAATATAACCCTAACTCGACTTAACTAACACATTATAACAAAAATATGAATAATTAACTTAATTTCTACACGTATAGATTTCCGATTGATCTCATTGTAGTCAAAAATTGTGGATATCTGTTTTCATCCTTCTGCTTTTTCTAGTATAATTATTTTGCAACCAAAATAAATAATTTAGTATTTTAATATTAGATATAAAGGCATAGCTGATTATTATCAGCAAACGTGCAGTAGCTTGCCATGTCCAAAGCATTTACTAGTTTAGTGCTGCACATTTAAGTAGACCATGCAAGGCTTTTCAAAGTAGTTTATCTCGCTGGACGTCCCAAAACTCTTATACATTTCGCAAAATTGAGCATTAGAAACTTAGTTGTTAATGTTGGGAGTTTATTCATGAAGCTGTTAATACTCTGTATCTACCAACAAACCATATTGTTTTAAGAAACGATAGTCTAATAGATGTTGAAATGTCGTTTTATAGAAATTAAGGTTTGATTCATGTAAGGATTACGATATGGTGTTTTAACAGTTCTCTTTATTAGAACTTTGAATATCACTTCCTTCCTTAACAATTATAATCCCTCGATTGTCTGATATGCAGAGACCCTGTCTTCAGCTACGTACGAATATAAAACACGACAAGGCTATTTGGGTATCTTAAGGAGTGTTTTGAAATTTTCATATTTTTAATAACACCATTTTTACATGTTTATTAAAAGGCTGTGTTACACAGATGTAGTTATTATTCCTAACAACGTTTAGCCATAATTAATGTCAAACGTTGTTGACTTTAAGGCTAGAAAGATGTCGTTTTATAAACTAATGGCCTATCCTGATACAGTTGAGGGACACCACACTGCCGTTTAACACCAATGACGATTATTACCTTACGATACCCGAGTGAAGGTTTAGGGTCAACAATGAATATTCTGTGAAAATTAAACTAATACATATATATATATATATATATATATATATATATATATATATATATGTTAGTGTTCTATTATTTACTCACAATAGTATATAACGCCGCCTACATAATGAAAATATAATTGTCATCAATTTTTAATACGATATGACTTTAAAATGCAGACTTTTTACCCTACATAATATGTTAATATATTATAATATTAAGGTATGATACAGCTTATTACTAACAATATTACAATAAAGTAGCTTTATTGAAACGTTCGATTTGTACATTATATATTCATTCACAGTGCCATATTGTATAACGTCTGCATTTTAAAATAATGATTTAAATAGATATTTTTTGAAAATTTTGTATCCATCGATGTAGAAAGGCGCAGCAACATAACCGTAATCAACCGTTTTAATAGTCGAAACAATGTAAATACCTTTAGGCGTATGTTAGATTGTATGACATTGTTATTATATTAAACTACTTGTAAAATTTCATATTTGTAACTATGTATGCACTCAAATATAACACTTAACACTTCGTAAATGTACTGCATATATTACTTTATAGGTATGTAATATATAAAATTAGAACAAGTCTTGATGTTTGTATAGGACTATAATAATCTCCGAAACGAAATTCTAAAATATTTGTCTAGTAACTAGAGTTAAGTATCATATTATTGTATTATAAGGGAAAAATATTTATAAAAGTTACTTCTCCATATTAGTTTACGCACGTTCATATATCACTACACAGTATATTTTAAGTGTACACTTTATTAAAATTTTGTCACAAATAAATTTTTGTTATAAAATATTCAAATTAAATATTTCTATTGATGTGAATTTATTCATAGTGTAGGAATAAAATATATACAAAGAATGCTAGATGAGTCGTTTTAAATAGTTTCATATTATAACATGCAATATTGCCTTACGATGGGCGAGGTTTTTGGATTATAGGTAAATTGGAACGTATAGTACATTATAGAAGAGATTTTGGTAGGAAAAAATGCAATAACATTAGCAGTAGCTGCCAATTGATGAACTATATATATTATAAATAAATATTTTAAAGATATGTAAAGTGTTTATTCAAATATATTTCTTCAAGCGATGAAAAACGGAATTAAAAAATAAATACCACCAGTCCATCTGAACTACGAGGCTATTCGATATAATATAATAGTCTACCATATTGAATAACTGCCTCATTGATGACTAAGTAATAGCTTCAGATTTTGAGGTCCCGGGTTCGATTCCGGGATGTATCGAGTATTGTTATTGCGGTTTTCCATCAAGAAATTTTTAGCAAATACCCGGAGTTGGGGAAGCACCAACAGGCAGGCAGATTAGAGGGCACTTAAAGTCACCGGACAGTCAGTTTGTCAGTAAAAGATATGAAAATGCACTTGTATTTACGTACAAACTTGTGCACTATATCTCCTGCGAAGATGGTTAATGTAAGTGGAATTGGCCGACGTAGTTGAAAGCTCAGGAGGACATTATTGTATATATTAAATTGGACTGGTAGTATTTTTTCAATTATGAAGTATGATTATAAAATATTTCAGTAACAAAAACGTATACTACCTCTAAAATTATCCTTGAAAAAAATATTTGAATCGCACAATACATATTAAAACGCACACACATACTTGTATATCGTTAGATGATTTACATCAAAATTAATTGCAACTTCATATTCTATATTATGAACATATTTTTTATGAAATTTTTCATACTGATTAATGATTAATTGCACGAAACGAGATACTTACTTGTAGTTAATAATAATTTATTTATTTTTAATTATTAAAAATGTTAAAATAGACATTTTAACTATTGCAGATATACTCGTATGTAAAGCATTAATGCAGTGATTTACTAGCCATAATAAACCATCGTCATATATGCTAAAAGTATTCACTAAAACAAATATTCAATAATAAAAAATAGGCCTCTAATCCGCATTTAGTAATGGAAATGAAGAAATAAAGCACGTATACAGTTAAAATCAGTAGTCAGTATCAGTGGTAGCCCAGTGGTAGCGCGCTCGCTTGGGAATCCGAGTGAAACGGGTTCAAATCCCGGGTCTCGCACTTCTCATATTTTCATGTGCGAATTATTTCTATCATGATTACCTTACCTTACATAGAAAAACATCGTGAGAAAATCTGCATGTCTGAGAAAACCTAGTAATTTTCTAAAGACATGCCAAGTCCGCCAACTCGCACTTGGCCCCTGGTGGACTATGGCCTGATCCCCCTCGTATTGAAGGGAGGCCCGTGCCTAGCAGTGGGGTGATAAAAAGGACTAAATACAATACAAAACATAGTCCGAATCATAGAAAAAACAACAGCTACTCAAGAATACTGTAAAGTCTGTGGAAAAAGCAAATCGGTAGAAGTGCAATTATTATCGAAACTAGCCAAATAATGTGATGAATCATGTTCACAAATTCGTATATTTAAATAATATATTATAGTTAGTTAACAATCGCTAGATCACAATAAATTTGTCCAATAAAGTGGATACGCCGACTCACGCACAAATTGCAATAGATTTTCTCCAAAGACGCAAACGCGTTGTTGATGATACATAGAATATTAGATCTTATAGTAATTCTTCTTTCTTTATAACTATTGATTTGATGCGATGGTTCAGTTTAGAAACTTATAAATTAAGTTTAATTTTTTATTTATTTTTAAAAATCTATTTCTTTTTAATAAACTCGTAGATACCTAAATTATTTAAACAACATAAATAAGCTACTTTGAAAATCTGTGATAAACTTGCACTGAATATGTTGTTTCATTGAACTCAACTTCTAGGCTCAATTAAAGGTAAAATTCAAAGTAGGCTGGTAGAATAATGTCAACGAACTCATATTTTTGACATATTAAATAATAAAAAAAAATATAGTTAAAGGATTAAACGTTAAAAAAAGATTAGATTTGCGAATGTGTGGCGAGAGATGAATTTTTTCCACCTTTTCTATACTTTTTAATTTTCCTGACACATATTTCTAACATAGCTTAATCTCACTGATATAATGTTCGATATCAATGTAATTCACTTACATTCCTTTTTCATGTAAGCTACTTGTAAACAAATAAAGTCAATCTTTATTTCTGCCTTCTTATTTTTATTTAAAGCCATTAATTTTATTTTGACGACACGTTTGGCTCAGTTTGTAGTGACCCTACTTGCTGTGCCAGCGGTCGCGGGTTCGAGTCCCGCTGGAAAGATTCATTTGTGTGATGAGCACGAATGTTTTTTTGTACTCCAGTCATAGATGTGTATATTTATAATATGTATGTATTTAAAGTTATATATGTGTAGTGTATCTACTATCTGGTATCCATAACACAAGCCTTGTAGCTTACCATGGAACTAGATGGTTCTGTGTGTTAATGTCCCAACATATTTATTTATTTATATTTTATATTCTTATATATAAATTGATTTTCTTATTTCATCTACTACTTATAAAGATAATCGATTTATTTTCAATATGAGAAAGCTACCTGCCAATAACGAAGTTGGATTGCGATAACAGTATTTGTTTTAAAATAAACAAAAATCAGTCCGAACATACCTATATATTTAACTTAGACGAATATATAGTCTGAGTATAAACAAAGGCTAAAATTTTAGTATTGTAAGAAGCTTTCAAAGCTCTAATGTATATCTTATTGACGGATAACCTAATCTATATAAACTAAAACTTTAAGACTTAAATATAAAAACTATATCAGTCATTAGTACATTTATATATTATTAACATATCTTTTTTATTTTAATTAAACTTCTTACGGTAAAAAGCGATGTAAATTACACAAACATACACACTTTTTAACATATGATTTATAGATATTACACACATAAAGGTAGGTTACAAATAGGCCTCATACATCAAAATTTTGACGACAAACGAAAAAAACATATTACTGTCCAGTAAATTTAATGTTATAAAGAAACGCTACTATATAATATAATATACTCAAAACTGCTTATTTAGCCCATATTCATTTTACTCATTGAAATATTTTAATGTTTGATTCTAATTTGCTGGTTATGGATTTAACATTAGAATCAGCTAAACTAATTCTACAGATCAAAATTGGACCCAGTTATGCAAAAAACAGTCACGTGCGTAAAAGTACCAACAGAGTTATAAGCATTTTATTATAAAAAATAAAATAACTATAAAAAATAAACAATACTTTAAAATAACCAGAAAAACAAAACATAACCCAAGTGCAACTTGACAGAAAAATGCTTATAACTCTGTTGGTACTTTTACACACATGGCTGTTTTTTGCATAACTGGGTTCAATTATAAGAATCATTTACATTCTATATCTAGTGAAATTCTAAAATTATATTAAATTCTAGAAGTTAAGTTAAAAATAAGAAATGGCTCAAATATATGCTTTCATTTAAAACAGATGTTGCTAGATTGATGCATTTAAGGTAATTATGAAGGTGACATTCGAAACGTTAGCAATCCTACTATAAGTATGTAGCACCATTATAAAATAAATAGCTGTAGGTATCAGAATTTACACGCATAGGTTAATTATGTAACGTGAATGTAGTATGTATTGTAAAATTCCTTGGTCGAATTTTAGTAAAGAAGGTTGGTCTACCATTTTTACTCTTATATACTTTGTAGAAATATTAATTACTCTTTATACTTATTTCATTTACATTTTATTAGAAAATAGTTTAAATGGAAATGGTTATGTTATTTTTATTCAAGTTAGTTATTTTTTTTATAAATTACGATTAATTTATGCACAATGTCAGATAAAAATGAACTATTTTTATTTCAATCAAAACAACACCAAAAAATAGCTTCCTTAAAAATAAACCTTTAAAGATGTTTTTGCATTATTTTTTATAACTTTCAGTTAATAATCAATTTATAAAATAATTATTTAGTAAAATATATTAAAATAATTATAATTTCGATAATATTTTATTTGAAGTATATGAAATATTAGATTTCTATTTTATATTGTTGACAAAGTAAATGTGAATGTCTTGTTTTATTAATAATAACTTTAAAAGATATTATTTAAGTATATATTACAAAGGGCCTTAAAGCAAAATGTTATTCTACAATCGAAGAAGTTGAAAAAATATTTGGAAATGACATATTTTGTCTTCGACGATAGTAAAATAACATATTATCTGAGCCCCAAGTTTATATGTTCTATGTTGAACTTTATTAAGTAAATATTTTATTATTACGTTGATATTGTAAATGCTATATTGTTTTAATTGTCACAAATTATTTATAATATACTAAGGTCAAGAATGAATAAACTTTATAAGTACAATAAAGTTCTTTTAATTACCTTTATCCTATCGCCTCCAGGCAGGCTGCTTTAACTTTATAGATAGATATATTGTAATTTAAATGTATAAAAAAGGTAACGAGTTAATACGAGAGTTTCTTTCGCCAGTTCTTCTCAGGTCTTAGGCTTCTTCTTTCCAAACTGGTAGTAGACTCATGACATTCAGTAAAAAAATGGAATAATTTATTGCTGAATAAAATATTTTGAATTTGTCTTTGAAAATTTAATTTAAGTATAAACATTTTCTATGTTAATTGGGGAAACCCATGAAGACACCCAGCCTGCCATCAAAAAGTGGAGGGCTGATACCTATCGCCCTGTTACAGTTAGGTAATTAGATAAATTATATGATCGCTTTCGTACATACTACAAAAATATTTAAATTATTATTAAATCATAAATGCTTCAAAACAATTAAAATATATTAATTGAATTAAATTTTAGTTTAAGAATATAAAACCTTGATTATAATCTATCTGTAATTCCCTGGATACGGGAATATGCCATAATTTTTATGGTTCTCGTATCAAATATCTGTCACTATTAAAGAAAAACGCGGATAGATATTTAATCGGGATCCATTTTAAGAAGTAAGTGTACTATGATCATTATGAGGAGAGATGAAATTCATATAAGCAAGACATTACGATTACGAATGAATCTGTATGAATATTGTAGTAAAAATTGAGGAACGAGTGTATGGACGAGTATGTGAAATATAAAATTGACGACACGTTTGGCTAAATTTGTAGTGACCCTACTTGCAACGCCAGCGGTCGCGGGTTTGAGTCCAGCTGGGGGCATTCATTTGTGTGATGAGCACGAATATTTTTACTCCAGTCATGGGTGCTTATATTTATATTATGTATATTGTATATATTTAAATTTATATATGTGTAGTATATCAACTGTCTGGTATCCATAACACAAGCTTCGTAGCTTACTATGAAACAAGATGGTAATGTGTGTTAATGTCTCGAAAAAAAATGGCATATTCTATGATAGAAAATGTTATAGTGTACATAATATGGTTCCGTCAAAGAACTGAGAGCACATCAACAACTTGCAGCACAACTGCTCTCAAAGCTTCAAACAGTGGCTATTTGGTGTTTATCTAGCCTGAATAATATATATTTTTTTTATATGTTGTGACATTAACACACAGCCCCATCTAGTTCCATGGTAAGCTACGACGCTTGTGTTATGGATACCAGATTGTTGATACACTACACATATATAACTTTAAATACATACATAATATTATAAATATAATTATATAAATATAATTATATAAATCTCCTTAATTTTCGAATTGAAAGCGAGATTATAACCAAAAAAAATCACTGAAAACAAAACCAAAACTCAATAAAAATAATATCTAGGGTATAGTCACATGAAAGAACTATACGGATACAACTCCACTTGGCGTCTTATCACTAAGAAGCATGTATGTTTGTTATTTAATCACGCCAGAACGGCTTAACGGATTTGGATGAAATTTGGCACAGAGATAGATTAAAATGTGGAATAGTATATAGGCTGCTTTTTATTCCGGAAAAATACACGGTTCTGATGGGATAGATTTGTTTTTGTTTTTCACTACAGACGAAGCCGAGCGAAGCAAGAGTGAGCAACAAGTATAAAATAAAATTATTCGACGACACGCTTGGCTCAGTTTGTAGTGACCCTACTTTCTGTGCCAGCGGTCGCGGGTTCGAGTCCCGCTGGGGGTATTCATTTGTGTGCTGACGAATGTTTGTACTCCAGTCATGGGTGTTTATATTTATAATATGTATGTATTTAAAGTTATATATGTGTAGTGTATCAACTATCTGGTATCCATAACACGAGCCTCGTAGCTTACCATGGAACTAGATGGTGTTGTGTGTTAATGTCCCAACGTATTTATTATTTATTCAGATGCTAGGAAAACCAGGATATGAAACACATATGTACTTTATTATTTATAACATTAAAACATGATATTATTGACACATTAACATTTTTAATATTGGACGATAATTTACTTCTCTTGGCCATTCTGGATGATGAACGATTAAGTCCACGATAGCTCTATCTGAAATATGAGAAAAAAAAGTTATAAACTATAATAAAATGGCAATAATGATAAATTTAAGTAAATTAATAGGTAACATAATATTTATAAACCGAAAATATACGATTTTATATGTATTCAGCCCTTTTTTAACGTTCTACAGCTGGGCTTGGATCTCTCTTCAATACGAGGGTTCTATGATAGTCCACCACGCTGGTCAAGGGGCAGGGTTGGCAGACTTCACATGTCTTTCAAAAATTTGCTTGGTTCTCTCAGACATGCAGGTTTCCTCACAATGTTTTCTTTCACCGTAAGGCAAGTGGTAATCATATTGGAAGTGATTCAAAGATGAAAATATTATAGGTGCGAGATCTAGCATTTGAACCCGCTTCACTGTCTACACTCGATTTCCAAGCGAGCGCGTCACCACTAGGCTATCACTGCCTACGATTTTATAGCGGCGTGTAAATAATAACTCGTAGTTGTTAACATGCACTTTAATGTTTACTTTTACGCTATAGCTTCACAATTACTTCTATAATATTTTATTTTACGTGAAATATAAGTGTTTTATTTTTAACTGCATATTTTACCTTTAACAATTTTCTTGAAATATAATGTGCATTTATTTAGATTTTTGATTCCCGACGCTTCGAATACTTGACGGCAATCATGGTCAGGGAACAGACTAAGGTATTAGATATCTCAAAGATAAGATTCACAAAAAAAAAACAAAAAAATATGTTTTATTTAAAATTTCAAATATTCGCGTAAATCTAAGAAAGTATTGTAAAGTATTACACCTTGAGATATAACATTTCCAATAATAAAATTTATAATGAAATCAGTTGAACAACTACGAATGAATCGCGTAACGTACATATAAAAATCAGTCAAGTGCGAGTCTAATTCACACATGAAGGGTTCCGCACCATCGTACATGTACTTTTTATTAATATGACTTTAATTCTATACCTATACTAATATATTAAGTTCGATGATCAATTACGAAAAATATTTCTTATATTTTATTTTTATCGATTCTTATTATTTGTTGTTATAGCGGCAATAGAAATACTTTCTATGTGAAAATTTTAACTATCTACCTATTACTGTTCATGAGATACAACCCGTTTCCGTTCCGTTGGCACCCATTCGGGTCCGAACCCATAATAAAGCACAAACTTGAATTTAGTTCAAACTTTTTGATCCTGGTTACAATTAAATACATACTTCAAAGTACTACCTAGATGCAGTTGCGTAGATGTGGACTGACGCTGTGGTCTGAATCAAAGAGTTCTTGAGATTGTGCCGGCAATATTAATAACCAATGCAAGTGGTCTTTTCAAAATCAAAACTTTCGCCACAAGAATCCTTATATATATATATATATATATATATATATATATATATATATATATATATATATATATAGATAGATAGATTACTTTTATTATATGTATAGATCTATGTTTACATAAATAAAACGTTGCAAAATTCATCCTGAATCCTGAATTCAATTAAACGAAATTCAGCGACGAACAGTTTTTAACCGTGGTAAACAATTCATAAAAACAAAAGCATTATACGTAAATATACACGTAAAACCAACTAACCGAGTGCCGATTTTACAATAACCAATAAAATCGCTCAAATTTTTTTACGATCCCATTTTTTCATTTTTGTTATCTTTTTTTAATAACCATAACATACCTTTTGGTATCTATTATTAACTTTTATTTACTTTACATAATATACTTCAATAACAAATCGATATTTATAAAGCCATCTATTCACATTTATTTTAATTAATTTATGTTTGTTATTGACGAGACCTCATCGAAAACCAAATCAAGAGTCACATTTTACGTAAAATATATGGAAATCGTATGTATATTTCACATAAAGATTGATTCGAAAAGTTACAACAATAATCAAAATTTACCTGAATAAATCTTAATTTTTCTTATTATATAGCCTTAATATGGTCCGGGGGTTCTCCGTTTATATAAAGTTTCCAAATTTTCTCATAAAGATCTTCTAAGCCTCTGGTATAGTGTTCACAGTCGAAAAGTGTGCTAGTAAGACGTGCTTTGGAAACTTTGGCTTGAATATATCTGCGACTGAAAGAAAATAGCAACGAATTACCATTTTTACTAACCTATATACATTTTAATTTACTGTATTTTATTAAACTTTCATTTATTTTCGCACCGATTATTTAGTTTAATTTATCAAAAGTAGCATTCGTTTTGATAATAAATAATTTTGAATACTGAAATATTTGTAATCATCATACATATTATAAATTTATAACTGATTGCTTTTTTCTAATACAATAGAACCCAAAACAATGATTTATAGAATTTTTGTCTGTATGTCGGTTTGTCTGTGCGTTTGAGCGGGAAAATCTCAGAAACGGCTAAACCAATTCGGGTGCGGTTTTCACTCATATATTTTGGTAAGCTTCACTTAATATTTAGTGTTTGTTTTATTTTAATCGGTTGATATATAAAAAAGTTATGCCAATTTAAGAACCACCTGGGGACGAGTCCGAGTGAAGCGACGGTTAGTCTCTAGTCTCTAGCTGTAATGAATAAAATTATTGCTTGCGTAAACAATGTGCATTTTTGTATCAACCGTGGGTTCACTGAGTTCATTTAAATTTTTTCAGAGTTCAATCAATAAAAACGCTAACTAAATATCGTATCAAACTTTTTTATATGTGAAAATTATAATAATTTTAATATTTATTTAATTAATTATTTATAAGTTTTTCAGAATATGGTATTGCATTAATAAAGACCCACAATAATAGCTTTTCACGAGTATCTTCCTTATACAGACAGCGATCAGTTAGACTTTTATTACATATACAAAAACTGGAAAAAATTCAGTAACTTTTTCATGTCTCTTTTAGAATAATAAACAGATTTTACGTACAAAGTTTTATAATTTCATTTTAACTACTCGTATATGTGATTATATCTAATGAATCCTGAAATTATACACCTTCTTGAAGTGTCTCGTACACTAAAAGAGATCATATTTTGTTTTTACAACGTAAATTATTATGATGTTAATTAGCTGTAGGAATCCCGCAGACTAGACTCACTTAAATTATTTTATTTATATTGTTGATAGACAAACAATCTTTCTCAAAGCCTAATCTTAAATGAATGCGTTGTAAAATGTGCACTTATATATTATCTTTATATCGTACAAGCGACTCACTCTTGATCCGCTCGGTTTCGTTGCTAGTTACTTTTTAACGTTTAGTATAAGTTTCTCTAAGATGAGATATTTTCCCGCAGTAAAAAGTATCTTATATGCTGACCCGGATTACCAGCCATCATCATAATAAATTTCATCAAAATCTGTCCAGTGGTTTTCTTGTGATGCGTTCCCAGACAGACAGACAGACAGACAGACAAAAATTCTAAATACTATAGATTCGGACTCTGTATCGATAATAATAACTTTTTCAATAAGATTAAAAAAAATGTACAGATTTGACACAATTAGAATTTTATTATATGTATAGATCTTCGATCAATAATACTACGAAGATATGGATAGAAGATTTACTATGGACGCATTAAACTGCAATGTGCAGAAGTCTTGAATGAATAAAAATAATTAAATGTTATTTCTTGAATCTCGCCTTTAAAAAGTAACGATTGTGAGGCGGAGTGTTTAATAAAAAGGAAACAAAGTATAAAACTGTGATACGATAAGGTGAAAGATAAAATCAAATGCGAATAAAAACGCGACATTGTGAACTAACTCCCACCACCCATTATCTCCACATAGGCGGAAAGTTAGAATGGATTGAAAAGCCATAATCGAGGCTGACATTTTATGGAAGAGCCAAGTGGTTAAATTATTTAATGGGAAGCTACAAAAAATATTTTTCACTAGCATTTTCAACTTAAAATAATACTAAATATATTACATTCTAATTTTTGTCAAGTTTTTAAAATACTAGCAAAACCCGCGGCTTCGCTCACTTTAAAACTACAAAAAAAAACTCTAAAAAGGTAGGTGCCATACAAACTTTCGTGCCTCATTTTGCCCCCTTATGGAATGAATTTCTAAAAATGCTATAACACGTATTTATTTAATTATATTAAAGAGCATTATAACCAAGTTTCAAGTACATAATTCTAATCATAAATATTCTAATCTTAGATATTTATAAAAATATCAAACATATTTAAATACAAACGTTGGTATTTATAATTAGAGTAATATTTAGTAATAATATGGTTTTTACAAATAGAAAACCTACGGTTTATATGATTTAGAGTTCAATGAAGTACTGTTGTATCGATTACTTACTGGAGCGTGTCGCGTCACTGAGATTTCGATAATTTAATTAACGCTGAATAAGGCTTTAGAAGGCATATCTATATAGCGTATTTTAGTGGCTGTTTTATTTCATTAGTACAAATAATGCCTTATATTGTTGTATTGGATGGAGAAGATTAAAACGCTAAAAATTGACTATCTGTATGTAACCGAAACGGCTTAGACTAAATCGCTTTTAGTAAGATTTTTATCGGCAGATAGCGTGAAAGTGTAAATTAAATTTGCTATATCTAGTAATAGACATATAAAGTATTGTAAAAAATATATTAATAAAACTACTGGTGACTCAGACTCGTTCGATTCGGGTTCGACCCTAGTAACGTTTTAACGTTTAGTATTTATTTCTCAGAGATATTATCCCGCAGTAAAAAGTATTCTATATGTTGACCCGGATAACTAGCTATCACCATACATCAAAATCGTTCCAATGGTTTTCCGTGATGCGGTCACAGATAGACAGATAGAAAGACAGACAGACAGACAAAATTCTTAAAAACTATAGATTAGGCCTCTGTATCGATAGTAATGTCTATTTTAATAAGATTTTCCAAAAAAATATATTTAATGTACACATTCGACTCGACTTTAAAAATTTATCACATATATGTATAGATGTTCAATAACAAATAAAATGGCAACACTTTTGTACTTGGGCTACACGTCAAATTCCAATGCCGTGTATTTGTATCTCGAAAGTACTAAGGTTTCTAATTAATTACCTAATTGAATTATAAATAAAGCCTACAAATTTATCTTATTGACAACGTTCACTTAAAAGGTTACAAAATGCAGAATTTATAAGGTTTCAATAAAATATGATTGCGTAAAATTATATACTTATAATTTCATATTACAAAAAAAAACAATATTTTTCTGTTCGTCACACTGTATGTTTTATTACTTTAGTGTTAGCAGTTTGACGTCTCTTTGAGTGTCTGTCTGTAGTATCATAGCTCCTAAGCGAATATACCGATTTTGATGCAGTTTTTTTGTTTGAAAGCGGACGTGGATGGTTCTTAACTATAATTTATAAAGATCTGTACAGGATTTTGATGCTAATATTACTTAATAGATACTTTTAACTGAAGTTAAAAAGCCAAGAGAGAATATTTTTTTTGAGTTGAGTTTGAGTTTTTTTGGCGTCGGGGTTGCTTAAAACTTTTAAATCTATTTTTTAGTCTATTAATAAGTTACCTAACAATGTACGTATTTGGCCTAATTGAGGTTATTATAAAAGAAAAAAATCTTTTTATATTGAAAGTAAAATTTAGAAGCGGCACGATTTATTAATTAATATAGACGACTTCTGAAGTATATTTGAATGAAGTATGTTAGAATATGAGTTTAATTTTATAAAATACAACAGTTGCTGAACTAAAACTAACTTTTGATTGCAGCTCAAACATTCGAAATTATTAAACCTTGACATTTTCAGTGTGCGTTAAATAAGTTTTGTTTTATATCAGAGTTTCCGGAGATTTTAAATGATCAATTATGCCCTTACTGATAATGTTTTATGAAATCAGTAGTTAATTATTAAATAAATAATTAGTAAGCAATTTATTTTGTACTAGCATTGCCCGCGGCTCTGTCCGCGTACAAATGACCAAAAACCAAATTATTAGGTTTTACATATTGGTATACTCTTACATTGCAGTTTTTGTATTTTTTCTCAGAAATAAGATTCTTTCCCGCTGTAAAAAGTATTCTATATATTGACCCGTATAACCAGCTATTACCGTACCTAATTTCATCAAAATCCCTCCAGTGGTTTTTCTGTGATGCGGTAACAGACAGACAAACAGAAGGGCAAAAATTCTACAAACTTTAAATTCGGTCTCTGTATCGATAATAATGTTTATTTCAATAAGATTTTCCAATAAATATTTAATGTACAGATTCGGCTTAGTTACAATTTTATTATATGTATAGATGTAACATATTAAGTGCTTTCTTTTCCCTCACACCGGCAGACATATTTAACTATTTAACCTATAATTGTTTTTATTTATTTAAAATTAAATAATAAATAAATATTAAATATTTAAATTTTGACTTACTAATTTCTATTGGTTCCTAGTGTCACAGCTATTTCTTCATAATGTTCTCTATCTTTAGCTATAAGCTCAGGGCACTGTAAAGCTTTCAGTTGTGAAGCTGCCACTCTGAAAAATATAATTTAGATGAATTAGTGTTTATAGTACTTATCTCATTTAAGATTACACGTCATACCAAATAATTATATTTTTTATAATTTTGACGACACGTTTTACTCAGTTTGTAGTGACCCTACTTGCTGTGATAACGGACGCGGGTTCGAGTCCCGCTGGGGGCATTCCTTTGTGTAATAAGCACGAATTTTTGTACTCTAATCTAAAATCTAATCTCTACTAATATTTGAAAGTTATATACTATATATAGTATATCAACTATCTGGTATCCATAAAACAAGCCTCGTAGCTTACCATGGAACTAGATGGTGACGTGAGTTAATGTCCCAACATATTTAAAAAAATATATTTAACTTTTAGCAATGTATTAATTTTCTACGAAAAATAGGTGTTCCAGGATACAAAGTAAAAGTATTTTAATCTTTGGTCCATAAATTATGCATAAAGTAATGTAATTTTCTTGCTTTATTAATAAGTAAAGGATATGATAAAAAATTCAAAAGCGTACTTTCATTTGACAAAGAAACAAGCTTTCGCATTACATACCTGACAAAAAGAATAACAAAATTAAAAAGGTAATCGTTTTAAAGTAATATTCTGTCTGTACATTATATCGAGATAGCTTGGTAAATATTTTTAAAATTTACATTAATATAATACTAGCAGAACCCGCGGCTTCTCTCGCACTAAAACTACAAAAATACTCTAAAAAAGTAGGTTTCATACAAACTATCAACCCCTATTTTACCCTTTTTTGGGATGAATTTCGAAAAATACTAAAACACGTATTTTTTTAATTATATTGAAGAGCATAAAAACCAAAATTCAATTAATTCTTATCATAATTTTTTGGGTTGTATTATGACATGTTGTCCCGTAGGAATTAGATATTCTCCCGCAGTAAAAACAGCGGTAGCCTATGTCACTCTCCAGCCCTTCAAAAATCACCATACAAAAAATCACGTCTATCCGTCGCTCCGTTTCGACGTGAAAAAAGGACAAACAAACAAACAACGCTGGAAAACTATTATAAATGCACGCTGGTAAAGTGTGAGTTGGCGGACTTTTCATGTTTTTCGGAAATTTGCTAGGTTTTCTTGGAAATGCACGTTTCCTCAAGATGTTTTTCTTCACCGTAAGACAAGTAGTAATAATGTTGTAAATTATTCGCACATGAGAATATCAGAGGTGCGAGACCATGAATTTTTAACCCGCTACACTCGGTTTCCCAAGCGAGCGCGTTACCACTGGATACCATTGCACACAATATATTAGTCTTAAAATGTTACAATATAATTACCATACATAAAAAATTATTAAAACATAATGAATACATAATTAAACATTACTACGGAATGTGGTTCCATTGTCTGGATTTAAAGCATTACAAAATATTTCTATGTTCTTCCGACTATGCAATCCCGGTATTGATTGCATAAGATGAGATGTAGGATGATTACCAAAGTGTAAATATAGGAATTTATAGGTTTAATTATAAAAATTTGTATATTCACCTGGATGCTAAAGTATCCCCTGGCAAAGTAACAACAGGTGTGCCCGTCCACAAAATATCCATAGTAGTCGTATGTCCATTACACAGAGGCGTGTCTAAGCAAACATCCGCCAATTGACCTCTCCGTACGTGTTCTTCTTTACAAGAAATTCTAGAAAATATCACTCGTTCTTGTGGAATTCCTAAAATCAGAATTGCGAAAAATATTTTTTATTAATAACAGTATGTACAAAGTACTTGTTTTCAATTAAATATTGCTTTACACAATTTTCTAAAGGAATACATGCAATTTTATTTAAATATTGCAGACTTACCTAATTTTTGAACATATTTTCGTAGATTTGGCTCACCAGCTACTGGGAAACTCAAAAGCCACAAAACGCTGTTTGGGACCTTTTTCAAAATATTAACCCAAGTTTCTATTGTTTGAGGATCAGTTTTGTATAATTGGTTAAAATTACAAAATACTATAGCATCTTCCGGAAGTCCATATTGTTTCCTCGATGTTAATATAATATTATTATATATTTCTTCTCCTGAAGCTACTCTTCTGTTACGCATCTCAATAGATAAGCCGTTTTCTATAGCTGTGCTATTTACGTATACCTGGAAGAGGAAAAGTTGCTAGATAAATAGAAAGTTTTTTTTTTTATATTGTAGTAATATTTATAACAAGAATTTTAATACGTGCCTTTTCCAGTTTTGGATTTCTTGTCCAATCAATAATATGTCTAGGAATGTCTATTTCACTTATAATTACATTTATTGGTTCCAAATTCTTAAATGTTATAACATCTTCTCTATACCTTACTTCGAAATTTTCGTCAATATCGTAATTTTCTGATGTGTTTATTACACCTATACTGGATCCTTTTGTTTGTTCGTCTTTTATATTTACATTGTATCGCACTTTTAAATGTGGAAACATTTGTCTATGGTCGCCAATAAAATATGTGTATGGCATGTAGGCAAATTTTTCGCTGAAATCTGAAGATGTCGATAAAGGACTTGAGATCTCATCAGTTATTACATAATCCATGTAACCAGAACCGCTGGTCCCTGGATAACCAAGCCACATGACCTGTACAGGAGCAGGTCTCAAAGCAAATATTTCATTTCTCGCACCCTTTGTATATCCATTCATATTAACTAAAATATCTATATTATCACTATATATCTTTCTAGCAGCTTCAATGTTACATGTTATTTGTGACAAATCAACAAAATGTTCAGATTCTTTCATTAACTTACTACGGAATGTGGTTCCATCGTCTGGATTTAGAGCATAACAAAATATTTCTATGTTCATCCGATTATGCAATCCTGGTATTGATTGCATAAGATGAGATGTAGGATGATTACCAAAATCACTGCTAACGTAACCAATTCTTAATCGATCGTTTTTTAGTTTATTAGCGTGATTAAAAGCAGTTGTTGTGAGCATTCGAACTTTTTCTAAATATAAATTGCCGTGTCGTGCTGCTATTTCTTTTCTTGCTCTATTTGACAATGGATATAAGATGGAATGATGAGGATGGACAGAAGTTAATTTATCACTATGTAATAATTGATTGTCTAATATCATTATTATATTTCGAATACGTTCTTCATAGTCGTCCCAATCGCAAATTATTTGTAAGCAGTGAACTAAATTGCAGTAAGCGTCTGGAAAATCGGGTTTTATTTTCAAAGCATTCTTATATGATACAATCGCTTCAGTGACATTACCCATATCTTTGTAAATACTAGCCAAGTTGCAATGCCCGTCAGCGAATTGAGGATTTATTTCTATAGCTTTTTTAAAACAGATCAAAGCGCCCTTTGTATCCTGCATTTCCCGTAAAGTATTTCCCATGTTGCTATAGGCGTCTGCGAATTTAGGTTGAATACTTATCGCTTCTCTATAGTGAAATAAGGCTTCTTTAAGTTTGCCTGAAATTATTTTAAATTCGTTTATCTATACTAATATTATAAAGAGGCAAATTTTGTGAGTTTGTGACGTTGTAGGGGGTAATCTCTGGATCTACTGAACCGATTTAGATGAAATTTGGTAAGAAGATAGTTTTAGACCCTGGAAAGGACACAGAATAATTTTTATCCCAGAAATCATCCCTTAAGGGAGTGAAATTGGGATGAAAGTTTGTATGGGGTAACAACCTAGGGACGAACCCGAGCGAAGCGAGGGTGAGTGGCTAGTACTTGTTTATAAAGTAACTAAATTTATCAAAAATGTACATATATATAAAAATAATATAAATATGGACTTAAAATATTACGAAAACATGTTCAATTGGCCACAAAAATAAATATTATCAAATGCAATCCAATATTTATATTCAAAATAAACAAAATATATTCAATTATTATATTTCATTTTGCTTTGATATACGTATTACTGTAATTTTTAATGAATTACAGAGTACGCACTTAAAACTACATTTCGTCTTATTACTTTTTTTGACGCATAACATGATTAGATGCTAACTTAACATTTTTTTATACACTATCGACATAACATCACTTCGCTCAGGTGCGTTCCTAGAAACACGGATTTTCTTTACAATTTCATGGGTTTTCATTTTTTTGCGCGAATCTCTAATTCCTTTTTCTAAAATAAAAGTAGCTTAAGTTACTCGTTATAAGGATGTTATAACATTAGCCAGTAAAGGTTCTGTCAAAATCGGCCCAGCCGTTTCGGAGATTAGACGGAAAAGCAGACAGACAGACATGCAAACATTTTAAAGATTTTTTTTCTTATAAGTGCCGTATATAGTTTCATAATATGTATTTAGTAAAAAGCCTTTACTATACTTACAAACAGATACTCAGAAATAAGAAGACTTAAGAATCAAATAACTTCAAACTAATTGCATTTCTATACAAGATATTTGCATTTGCAGCAAACAATTCCTGGGATTCAGGACAAATTAAATCTAGAAGCTACCTGCCTCGAAGCTTTAAAAATACGCAAAATTTATTTATATAGAAAGTAATTATACTTTGCGGGAGATGAGAATATAAGAAAATATATAAATATTGATTTATATACAGTAGGTACTTATTGACAACACGTTTGGCTCAGTTTATGGTAACCCTGCTTGCTGTGACAGGGGTTGCGGGTTCGAGTCCCGCTGGGGGCGTGTTTGTACCAGTCAGGGGTAAAAAAACCTGACTGGAGTACAAATATATTTATAAAATATGTGTATTTAAAAGTTATGTGTACAGTGTATCAACTATTGGATCCATAACACAAGTCCGTAGCTTACCATGGAACTAGATGGTGCTGTGTGTTAAACTCCTATTTGTTTATTGAAATAATATTTGTTTTAAATAAGATAGAACTCATATACGTAAAATAACTCTAAACGAATATTCTTTCACTGCATAAACTGCATTACATAATTAGTAATACCAATTTATAGTGGTTTGTGTAGTATTATTAAATTTATTTGGGCGAACCGCATTTTGATAATTTTAGTGGTACGCAATTAAAACAATTATCTCTAATTTATTTACCGGTAATTATGTTTCCGTGTAATTACCGCAAACTGATTCAATTAACTGTGAGTGGAAAATTATATTACCTCGTCTGAATTTTGTTGAATGGTATTCATTGTAATACGTAATGTAATTTTGGTGTAGTAGATTCGATTTTCGGCCTGAGAATGTTGTCATTTTATTAAATACAACAAAAGTAAAATAAAACAATAAGTGTCGTACCTTGCTGTTGTAGAAGCGATGCCAAATTACTGTGAGTAGCTGCAAAATTTGGAAATACTTCTAACGCTTTCATATATAAGTTAGTAGCTTCTTCAATTTTGCCCTGTTCCCTTTTGACATTGCCAAGATTATTTAGAGTATCTACATGAGATGGGCATAGAGACAAGGCTTTGTTGTAGCACTCCTCGGCTTCCTTGACCAATCCTTTCTCTTTGAGTGCATTGGCAAGGTTGCAATAAGCATCAGGGAAATTTGGTTGAAGTTCTATAGCTTGGCGATAAGTATCTATTGCGAGATCGATGAAACCTTGTTTATAGTAGAGGCATGCCAAGTTGCCATGTATGATGCCATTGTTTGGCGAATGCTTCAAAGATTGGAGATATACTGCTATCGCCCTGTAACAAATAAGCTGTCAATAATCGGTGATTGAGCTTTTGTTTTGATTCTAGCTTTGAGAAACTTTGAACAGTAAATATTTATCTGAATTTTGGAGGTTGTCTGAAATCATTTATACCACTATAGTAGTTTATATATGATTGATCGATATATGTAAGTATATAATTTTAGTTTATTTCTATTATTTTCATAACAATAAACCAATTTCTATACGTTTGTAGATTTTTTTAATGTAATATCGGCTAAATGTAATATTTACAATACTGCTCTCTTCAATCTTATTTCATGTCTTACAATAAATAAATAAAGACTTTCGATAAATAAACACAAATTTTAGGCAAAGATGTTTAGAAAGCTTTCAACAACCTTTGTACTATTATGAGCAGATAGAAAGTGAGAATTTTTGTCGGTAAGCTCCTTAAAATCCTCTTATAATACTTTTACATCAAAATATGAATCTATTTGAAAGTAAGCTCCGCTTTGTACAATCATTTTGTTTTTCATCAGAAATAAAAACATTTTTACTTGAAAGACTTTATATTAATTTAAGGAAATATAATTTTTAAAAACTTGATATAAATTACAAGAAATTTTAGATTAATTGTCTTGTTTAACATCAAAAGATCAGCTTTAGTAATTCCATCGTCACAAATTAAAAACAGTGAGTCAGTGGCCTGCTCTCGCATAGCTAAAGGCTTAGAGCTACAGCGCTACCTTTGATCATGTGCCGCGTCAGTTACACCCAATTTTTGAGAGCATTTCGTAAATTTCGAAATTTTAATCAAGTAAAAATTATAAAAGTAGTTTATACGTGAAGCAATGTAAAATTTTTATTCGAATATCGTAAGAAAACGCTTAAATCATGATAAGTTTATTTATCTTATCGCTATTAATCAATTTGATGCTCAAAATTTCAGAATACAGAATGCTGAATTTCTCGTAAAAAATATAATGATATATATATATATATATATATATATATATATATATATATATATATATATATATATAAAAGTTAAGGAAATACAAAGAAAATACATAGGTACTTATAATAGATGTAGCATCTACTTTGCCGTTCATTTCATTTCATATTTAGGAGCATTTAGAAAACTAGTTCTAGTAGTCCCTAATGAAAAACAAAAGCAAATATATCCCACGGAAACCATTCATTTTGTCGGGATAAAAAGTAGCCTATGTATTATTCCAGTCTATTATCTATCTTTAGGCCAAACTTCATCCAGATCCGTTTTGTAGTTCTGGTGTAATTGAGTAACAAACATCCATCCAAATTTTCGCATTTATAATAATATTAATAATCGAATTATCTATAATTAGTATTACTTCTATCTTAAAAACAGCTTTTCATATTAATTATTTTATGGTTCTGTAAAATCATAATTTTAAGCAAGTAATTAAAACATCAAATGGTTTTAATTAATAACAGTTTGTTTTAAAGTTCAATGTCAGTTGAGAGGCATTCAAATGTATTTTTTTTTAATAAATGGAGCAGACTGCAGAGATTCAAGTTTCTGTAAAATATAAATCCTGTCTATTATAGCTATTTTTAAAAAATAGCGTTTCAATAATCTTTTTAGCGTTCTTGCGAATTTATTAGTGACATTTTTGATGTAGAAAGCTAAGAGATCAAATCTAACTCAAGTTTTTGTTATAAAGAACCAGTTTTTCGCCGATAGCCTCAATAAAAAATTTTCACTCAAATATTATATACCTAATATGTGTGTAAGTTTCCTTCTATTTCTTGCGGCAATAAACTGATTGACGTGATTTTTTTTGCAGACAGTTAGTGTGCCGATGAATGACATAATCTACTTTGATCTCAGTACATAATCCCACAGTATTGCATCTTTCCTCATCGTACCCTTGAGATATTGGTAGCAAAAAGATATTTTTGGCGTACCTGAGTAAAACAAAATTGCTCTTTTATTAAAAAACAAATTATTTCGTTTACCTATTATTTATTTTTACTTTGATCTCATATAAAATTTATAGCGCAATTCTGATGGATTGGACAGAGTAACTTTTGACATTTTAAATAGCAGTAAATTAATTATCATTTTATATAGGATACACGTGTACAATTCATATATTTTTATTCGTACACGTGTTCAGTTTTTTTATCGTGTCATTGGTAAGGACGAGCTTCTCTCTACTGCGAGGGGACCAGCTATCGTCCACATTGCTCGCCAGTTGTGAATTAGTAGACATCACATGTCTTTTGAAAACTAGTTAGGTTATCTCATACATGCAGTTTACTCAAGATGCTTAAGTGGAAATAAAGTTGAAAATGATTCGCACATTTAGGGTACCCGAGACTTGAGACCGCTTCACTTGGTTCTTCGAACGAGCGCGTTACTTATAGTAGGAGATCCCGATTTATGTGGTGGAGCCTTCATTTTTTTTCAGATATTATTTTTTAACAATAAAAAATTTTTACAAAGATAATCCTGGTGGGTTATCACTAAAAAAAATCTATTGTTTTTTTTAAGTATCTTGTACTGTAACAAATTAGTATCCATCGAAAGTAAAAGAATTGTAGATAATACCATCATACGCTTGGCGGCGTTTTTCGAACATATTACTAACATACAGGTATTAACAGGTAAATTGAAATAGTTAATTGCTCGTATCGTTTTCCAGATCCAAGTACCAAGTATCAAAATATAGATAATTATAACAAAAATGATACAGGGTTGTCATACCAAAACATCTCCAGATCAGAGGTTTCTTTTAGTAAAAAATAGCTTAGAGCAAATTTTTGTAACAACTCGTGTTTGCTGTTTTATGGTTAAAAAAATATATTTCATCTGGAAAAAAAGAGGAGTCCACCACATACATCGGGATCTTAGACTATTACACATATATCGTATTGTTTACATTGTATCATAGTGTTTTATTGAATATTTGAATGACTTTTTCATATTTGATACAATATAAAACATTTCGTAAACAACGGTTTCGATTACACATCGTTATTTCATACATATCCAGCACGGCAAATAGAAATAAAATAATAAAATAACAAAAACAAAAATTTCATATTTTTAACACACTATCATCGGATTACGATTTTAAATCGGAAAGTTTGTATGTGGATATGTATTTTTAGTCATTCTGAAATGGCTAAACAAATTAGAATGTAATTTATTATATAGATAGACCATAGAAAATGAGTGAAGGAATATTAAGAACTCATTTTGCTTGTGAAAGCAATGATTATGAACTGTTGAAGGATAAACAGAAAGAATGTGTCATGTCACAGAATCCTATTACTCTCACATGTTATGAATTATATAAGAATAACAAATAAAATTGTTTTGGAAAAGCTGTATAAATAAATGTTATAGTGTGATTATTAAGATATATGTATATATTAAGAAGTGGGTTTGATTCTTACTTGATAATACAAATAAGATAAAATTTAAAAGCTATACACAAGTCGAATTGAGCTTATTGAGCTTACAATTATGTGACATAATAAAATTAAAGAAACCCCCGACACAAAAAAGTCCTCTAATTATCATAGTGTATAGTAGTCTACTAGTCAAGCCCTTTATATATATATATATATTGAGGGAGTTGTGAAAAAATATGATATCCGCCGTTTAGTGGCGACGGCCATCTTAGACCGATTTTCATTTTACATAGCTAAGAACACTCTCGAATCATTCACATTTCAAAGAAAAAAAAACAAAATCAAAATCGGTTCATCCGCTTGGGAGCTACGATGCGACAGACAGACACACAAACACGTCAAACTTATAACACCCCGTCGTTTTTGCGTCGGGGGTTAAAAAACGAACAAACTGATTAACTTTAAAAGTTTCGCAATTGATAGTACGTATTCGGTCAAATAGTTCGGTAGTCGGACCAGAATCATTATTGAAAGTTTCAAGAATATTTATTAAGAGAATTTACCTATCTATATAAAAAAGCAAATAATTTCTAAAATATTTTTATTGATCACTCTAAAACTCGTCAATAGATCTTAAACATTAAAAAAAAGAAAGTTAACCAACAACGGAAAAAAGGTACTGTTCTTTTGTTGTTTTGTCTATGTATAAACTACCCTAGGTAGATTCCCCACAACTTTCATTCCCATTTTCACCCTCTTGAGGGATGATTTTTGGAAAAAAATTATTCTATGTCCTTCCAAAGGTCTCAAACCATCTCCTTACCATTTTTAAATCGGTTCAGTAGTTCCAGATATTATTTCCTACAAACAAACACACAAACTTACAAACTTTACCTCTTTATAATATTAGTATGATAGTATAGATCAATATACATATGATGTATAGATGAGTATATGCTTACTCAGAGGAATCCAAAAGCAAATATTTTTTGTTACTAAAATATATACAGGAAATTGAAAAATAGGGTTCCTTCCGTCGTACACTTTTGTTATGAGGAGATAACAAGAGTACTCCAGAATGCCTTATAAAATATTACGCTCAAAACTGTATTATAATTTTATTTCGAAGCTTAATAAAAAGTTAATAAATATTATGTTATATTTTTCATACAAATTACACGTTTGCTTACATTGCCAATATTAGTTTAAAACAATCTATAATATTGTTTAACAAAATTGGCTTAACGAATTTGATTTTTTGTCGGTATCGGCTAGTTTAATTCCATATTAAAAATCAAGCAATCGACTAACATAAAATAGAGAATCTTCTTACTGAACTCTAAGACAATAAAAATATCGTAAAAATATAATATTCCGAATATATTAATTTTAAGAAATCTACATCTGCTTAAGATAATAATTAACATTAATTAATTAATTTAATTAGTTAATTCAACTAATATTATAAATGCGAAAGTTTGTGAGGATGTATGGATGTCTAGATGAATAGATGTATGAATGTTTGTTACTCTTTCACACAAAAACTTCTGAATGCATTTTAATTAAACTTTACAATAATATAGCTCATACATCAGGATAATACATAGGCTACTTTTTATCCCGGAAAAATTTACGGTTCCCGTGGGATAGATTTGTGTTTGTTTTTCTAAAGGCAAGCGCGAGCGAAGCGAGTTAAGCCGTCGGTATCTCTATAAATTATATATTACCAGTAATTAAATTTAATTTATGTAGGTATATAAATATATTCACCACAATCAAGCTACCTGGTCCAGAATATAAGCTATCCTGATTTGAAATTTCACCTAAATAGGTTAAGCCGTTACAGCGTAAAGAAGTAACAAAATGCGCGCACTCATTCATATCGCATTTGTATTAGTAAGATTATTTTACGATAGAGATATAAATTGTTTGCTAATCGAGGGCTCCAATTATAATTAGATTTTGAAGCGACTTAAAGCGATGATTGTTATATAAATAGGCAAAGCCAAAACGTACAGTTCAGTACCTTTTTCTCCTCTGTTTATCAACTGATTTTCTTCTCTTTTGTCAACCGACTTCAAAAAGGAGGTGGTTCTCAATTCGACTGTACGTTTTTTTTTTTTTTTTTTTTTTTATGTTTGTTACCTCAGAACTCCGTCATTTATTAACCGATTTGGACAATTTTTGTTTTGTTTGAAAGGGTATACTTCCAGATTGGTCCCATTTAAATTTAAAAAAAAAAAATACCACCCCTAAGGGTGGAAAAACAACTAATGATGAATTTAACCTACTTCTAATTGTCATATTGACTTGAAACTTTGCAAGTATTTCTATTTCCGTTGATAGTACAGTGGTTCGGTGTTGTTGACCTGATCTGATGGCAAGGCCAGAAGGTGGATAGGTGGAACTCTTCAACGGCTAATAGTAGATACTTTGAGTTTGGGCTTATTTTGTTTGATTTGACAAGCCTAACACGTTAGAATCCTTACTTTGCTACTACTGTCTACACTAAAAAGGGAAAAATAAAAACTTTTTAACAAAAAAATAACAACCGACTTCAAACAAAAGCACTAAAAAGTAACAAATAACTGATTGGTAGTTTTCATTTACTATACATACCTAATCAAATATTTTCGAAGTCGGTGTGCTTTGGCTAAGTAATTAAAGCCTACCTATTAAATACATACCTAATCAAATATTTTCGAAATCGGTGCCAGCCCATACAAAGCTAAGCACACCGACTTCAAAAATATTTGATTAGGTATGTATAGTAAATGAAAACTACCAATCAGTTATTTGTTACTTTTTAGTGCTTTTGTTTGAAGTCGGTTGTTATTTTTTTGTTAAAAAGTTTTTTTTGTTAGCTATCGATGAGCTTTAATGCTATCAATAACAAAAGGGTTACGAAGAAAATTCGACAACTATGTGAATACTAGTACGTATAAATAGTAGTTTTAATAGTATATAATGGAACTAGCGACTCTCCCTCGCCCCGCTCGGGTTCATCCTTAATTATATTTTAACGTAGATTTCTCAGAGATAAGATATTTTCCCGCAGTAAAAACGGATAACCAGCTATCATCATGCTCAAACTTCATCAAAATCTGTCCAGTAGTTTACTTGTGATGCGGTCCCAAACAAACACATAGACAGACAGACAAACATGCTAAAAACTATAGATTCGGCCTCTTTATCGACTATTTGAATAAGAGTTTCTAAAAAATATTTATTTAGTGTACAAATTCGACTCAGAATTTTATTACGAGTACATGTATAGAGAAGTATAGCATAAAATCTTGTATATCTTCTTTTTTTGCAAAAAAATCTTATAAATAAATTAATTAAAATTAAAAAAAATCTTGCATAAAGAGATTATAGTGTTAACAAAGTTTGTGTCTGAGGTTTCTTTTTAAGCTAGTAATTTTTGCTTGTCTTAGGAGACCCCGCCCCGACCTTCCATAACAAAAAGTACAGACTTTTTGTCAATCTAAATATACAAGGCACTCGTACGTAATACTTTGAACTTAAATAGGTAAGTTAATTTAGATTTAAATTAGGTATTACGGCTTGTTAATTGAAACATTTAGAAAAATAACCCATAAACTAATCTTAGTTTTACGTAAGTTTGATATTATGAAAAATGAGGAATATTTTCTTTGAATATAAAGATTATTATATATATTAGATAAAAGGTATTTCAGGTAATATTTTTTTCTGTTTTCTATAATGTTATATAAGTACTATTTTAGCTTTAGAGAAATTTGCAGTAATAATTGTAAATATTTTTAATATTAATTGGTTATTAGTTGTTTTTTAATGTAGAAATGCAATACATCTATACATATAATAACATTCTAACTGAGCCGAATCTGTACATTAAATATTTTTTGGAAAATCTTACTGATATAGTTATTATTATCGATACAGAGGCCGAATATATAGTTTTAAGATTTTTTGTCTGTCTGTCAGTCTGTCCGTCTGTTACCGCATCACGAGAAATCTACTGGACAGATTTTGATAAAATTTGGTATGATGATAGCTGATTATCCGAGTCAACATATAGGATACTTTTTACCGTGGGAAAAAGTATCTTTTTTGAGAAAAATACAAAAACTGCAATGTAAGAGTAAACTAATATGTAAAACCTAAGAATTTGGTATTTGGTCGCGGGCGGAGCCCAGTAGTTAAGTAATAGGTCGCTAGTATTATATATTTTTTATTATTTTGAACATATTCAATGTGTTCATAATAAAAATAAAATTTGTATATATCATAAAGAGTTGGCAGTTTGTTTTAATTAGGAGCAAAGTAAGTGAGTTTATTTTAATGTTAGCTTCTCATCTCGGCCTTGCTTTTTGTACCTAAACTCATTTTTTGTAACTAAACGCGTTTTCTATTAAGATTCTATATAACTTTCACAAATGTCAAATATCAAGTATCGAAAAAACTTCCATTTTATATTTTAAATCATTTTTCCATACAAATATTTTTCTCCAAAATCCGTAGAGACAACACTTTAAAAAAGGTGCCCTTTTTGGGTATTTTATACCAGAAATTAATATTTATACCGGAATCAAACCCGCTTTAATGTCTAAGCTAATTATTTTCATATTTACACATAACCTGACATTTGTTTTTAATAAAAATATATGTTAAAACTAACATTGCCCGCGGCTTCACCCACGTTCAGAAGACCAATAACCAAATTCTTAGGTTTTACATAATATTAGTATACTCTTACAATACAGTTTTTGTATTTTTTCTCAGAAATGAGATATTTTACCGCAGTAAAAAGTATCCTATATGTTGACCCGGGTAACCAGCTACCATCATACCAAATTTCATCAAAATCCCTCCGGTGGTTTTTCTGTGATATGGTAACAGACAGACAGACAGACAGACAGACAAACATTCAAAATAATATAGATTCGGCCTCTGTATCGATAATAATGTCTATTGCAATAAGATTTTCCAAAAAATATTCAATGTACCGATTCAGCTTAGTTAGAATTTTATTATATGTAGGTATAGATTTATGAAAATTCCTTTATAATAGGAATCTTTGTTAAATATTTCATACAAGTCTCTATTCAATTCGACATTGTCCATTCGCAATTAAGTAGAATCTTGTTACGAGCGTTTCTATGTAATCTCTACATAACGAACATCATTTGTACCCCTTCTAAAACTACTTTATATTTTATTGTTTAGATTTAACTTAATAGCTTGTATAATTTATTTAAAATATTTTAATAATAACATTCATAAATCGTGATTGTTAATTGTGATTTAAATATCTTAAATTGTGCGTAATAAAAAGTTATTTTTTTCGATTGTTTTATTGAAATTAAATGTAAAGATTCAAACAAAAGGGGCATTGACACTTTCTACAACGATATAAAATAATTTGAAAACAAGATTAATTTATTTTTCTATACTTTTTAATGAACACATTTGTTTTAAATGCTTAAAATATTTATTTTTGTGTATTATAATGGAAATAGCGAGAGGTCAATATCATATACTAATTATTCCAAACAATGAAAACATAATAAAAAAGCGATTAAGAATTAAAATGTTTTACAAAAATAAATACATATCTATACTAATAAATGGAGAGCCGATTTTTTTGTTCGGTTATACTGCGATAACTACTGAACCGATCGGAATAATACTCATACCATAAGATGCAGCGTGTTTCAGAGAAGGTTTTAGTATATGAATGTTGGAAATTAATATACTATACGGGCGGAGCCGCAGGAAAATGCTAGTTTAGTCATATTTAATATATTACTGTTTAAATCAAATAAATTCGCACTGCACATAGAGTTATCATTGCAAAGTAAAAGAAATCGCACAAACAATAAATATTAGGTACTTGCCTTTTAACTTTATTTTTGAACCAGTCGACGCACCCGTTCGGGATATCTTGAGAGAATTTGGGGGGTGCGATGTTGATGACCGTGTAAACAACCACGCATTGGTAGTCCATGGTGTGGACATATCCTTACTGCTCGACTCAGCTGGGACTTACAGACGCGCCCGCGCCGTTGCCAACATACGTAAACTGTGACCTTGGCTTTTCAATCTATTCACGACGAGGCGACATGTTTGAAATTTCATAAATACACAAAAAATATATACAAAATTATTTTAAATAAATTATTAATTTAGAAACCTATTTTTTTATTTAAATAGTAAATATTTGATTAAACAAAGTGCAAATATAAGTTTTTGAAATCGTTAAATGTTTACGTGTTTTTAACGGCGCGGTATCGATTTGGCAAGACGCGGCGTAGTGACGCGGCGACCGTAACGCGACTGCGGCCCGCCACTGGACTTTCCCGCGAAAAGCCCGTACTGACTCCCAGTCGACTGATATAGCATTATCTATATGATTTACGTGAAAATGTTTATTTTCTTGTACGAAACATAATTCTTTTTTATGTAACGAATTCAGAATTCAGATATTATTATTTAATTAGTTGAAATTGAATTGATGTACCATTAATTACTTATAATTTCATTATTCATTGCCTAAGGAACTTTTACAGACATACTAATTTTTTATGATATATATATATATATATATATATATATATATATATATATATATATATATATATATGTGTGGTGTATATATATATATTGCACTTAAGTCCATAAGTTCTCTTTCAATTCCAATTAATATCTTACTCCTTATAGAAGAGTGGTTTCAGAAGTTACCGCGACAAAGGAAAACAATAAGTGAAGTCGTTGAGAGTAATTTATTTTTCTTACACCGTTTAAAGCTTGGTTAATCGTCAAAAATTTATGTAGCTTGTAGTTGATACTTTATTGCATACAATAAATCGCATTAAGCAAATATTGGATCACTATTATGAAAATTTTGTATGTTATACAAACAATTATATGTGTATTTAGGTGTCTGTTTATATGTTTGTTACGTCTTCACGTTATGATGGCTGAACGGATTTTAATCAATTTAGTACACAGAAAAACCTAGAATAATATATAGATGCACCCGAGTGAAGCAAGGGTAAGTCATTAGTTAAAATCTGTATAAATATTATAAATATGAAAGTTTGTGAGTGTGAATGTCTGTTTATAGTCTGGAATAACATATATTCTACTTTTTATCCCGGAAAAAAGTACGGTTCCCCTGAGATAGGTTTGTTTTTGTTTTCCTAGAGGCGAACCCGAGCGAAGCGAGGGTGAGTCGCTAGTATTTAATAACTATGATATCATTTATAATTATTTCTTAAAGATCATAAATAAATATAGTAAAAGATAATATGATGAGCTTAATTATTATTAACATTGTTCATAATAAATTTAATTAACATTCCAAATTACAGTAGAGTTCACAGAAAGAACATTATTACCCCGAGAATAATACTTTGATTAAAGTACTCGTATATTTTCAGGTAGTTTGAGATTTACAGCACGTGTAAGCTTAAGGGCGTTTACAATCTGCTTATTTATTTAATTTCATAAACTGCTGTCTAGCTCGCTTCAAATTGAATATAGTGGCATAAATATGAAATTTTCTATGTGTATGTTTGCATTAAACTATATATTTTCGATTTTTTTCACGAATTTGTTTTAGTTTTTGGTTTCCGACGATTCGAATTCTATAGAGATATCAAGGTCACGGGAGTGTACTTTTCGAAGTCTAGATTCTAGATGCTAACACAGATTTCAAGACATTTTAATAGGAAATATACGTGACTGCTGCGTGTTTTAATTTAAATATAATTGAAGTGAGTATTCAAAGTGTTTAATCAACTGAGTACTTCCTCTCCCACTTTCCGTCTTTTTGTGAACGTATTGTGCTCGAGGATGAACTGGCTGTTATTATAGTCAGCTCGTATATTTTTGCTAATAACGTAGCCACGTTTCAGTTTTCTAATTAATTAAGGTGTTTTATTAGACCATTTTTTGAAATAGCTAGTTATTGCCTACGACTTCACTCGTGCTAGTATTTAAGTTCACAAGCACAATGCTAGATTTTTATATGAGCTTTTTTATAATGGAAAATTCAGATTGTATATAAGATATTCGATCGAATAATATTAAACTTATTTTTTTTAATGTACATATCATCTAAACAATAAAAGTGATATTTTCTAAAATTTCTTTAAGTAAAATTTTCCTATCTTGTATTTTTATCACATTCTTCGATTATTATTATATTTGGTCATCTTAAATAAATAAATTTAAAATATATGACTGTGAATAAAACAAAGAAATGTATATATTTTTAATGTAGGCTTATAATTATAAAGCGGTAGAATTGATTTTTTTATTTGTTTGTTTGTTAGTTTGAACGCGCTAATCTCAGGAACTAAAAATCCGATTAGAAAAATTATTTTTGCATTAGATTTATCGAGTTTATCGAGGAAGGGTATAGGTTAATATCAAAATATATCAAATAGTTATATATCAAATAATAATATTTATAGCCTATCTATTCCATAATAACCTTTAAAATATACCTAGGGGCGAACCCGAGCAAATCAAGGGTGAGTCGTTAGTCTAGTTTAATTTCTATTTCCGACTATCAGTGTAAATTCAAACATCTGCTCTTTAATTTTTAAATAGAGTCCGAGCTTCGTGCAACGAAAGACTGAAATATAAATGTCTACCTAGGACATTTATTATGCATTTAATATTCTAGAGTAAATTTTACTTTGATGAATAATGAAAACTTGTTTAATATAAACATTTATAATACTAGCGACTCACCCACGCTTCGCTCAGATTCGTCTCCAGGTGATTCTTGAAATTGACGTAATTTTTTTTTTATTTATGAACCGATTGAAATAAAACAAATAGTAAACTGAATATATATGATAGTTAACTAAAGCTTACCACAGTACATTAGTGAAAACTGCACCCCAATCGGTTAAGCCATTTCTAAGATTAGTGCTCCAAACGCACAGACAAACAGACAACAAATCTAAAAATAATTGTTTCGAGTTCTATTTAATAAAGACTCTAATAATAGTTTTTTCTCAAATATTTTTCATGTACAGATAGCGATCAATTACACTTTTATTGTATGTATAAATTTTCGTTATAACATATCCGGCAATTATAGACATAAATAGCATTTAATCATTTTTTTGTAGATTAATTAAGAATTAGCGACTCGAGGGTGAGTATGCTCGGGTTAGTCCTTAGTTTACTTCTTAACGTTAAGTATAGATTTCTCAGAGAAGAGATACCTATTTTGCCTCAGTAAAAAGTATCCTATATGTTGACTCGCATAACTAGCTACCATCATACCAAATTTTATCAAAATCTGTCCAGTGGTTTTCTTGTGAAGTGTTCCGAGACCGGCAGACAGACAGAGAGAAAGACAAAATTTTTAAAAACTATAGATTCGGCTTCTATATCGACAATAATGACTATTTCGATAAGATTTTCCAAATAGTATTTAATGTACAGATTCGACTCAGAATTTTATTATACGTATAGATTTGATTTCTGTTTAATACTTATTTTTGTTCACAGCTCCGCACGCGAATAAACATAAATACATTTATCAAAAGTATCCTATGTATCAATCTAACATATAATAAGCTTTCTCCATTCAAGTTTTACTTATCATAATTAACATCCGTCGAGCTGTTAGCGACGAGAACTAAAAATAAAATACACTCATTTAATTACCCTAGTATAAGAAATTAGCAGTGTTTTATTTAGTATAATTAGAGTAACATTTTAGCTTCTGTGATCATGATATCATTATAAAAATATATATAGCGACCTTTTCCCTTGACACATACTCGTATGGTATGAAATAACATTTAATTCAATTAAACAAAGTTCCTAATGTCTTTATATAACATTACGTGTGCTAAAAACTACTAATATTGTATACTAGCAACATACTCTGACTTTGTATTTAAATACAGCGTATAAATAAAAACCGACTTCAAGACACTAAAAATAAAAAATTATAATAACAAAATATCTCTATTTATACTAAAAAGTAAAAAATAACTGAACGGATTTTTCATTTACTATAGATACTTAATCAAATATTTTCGAACAGTAACAAAAAGACACATACAGACAAACATAGAAAATTCTCCTTTTTGGAAGTCGGTTGATCATACGTTTGTGCTAGTTATAATGGTTATACTTATTATAAATCACTAAACTTGAATTGCGGTGAAAACCAAGAAACGTTATAAGCATTACAAACAGACACATTGAGAAATATCTTAAATCTATATAACATATTACCTACAAGCTTCAAATTCATTTTATCTTTTATTATATATTTCCAAGGTAATTTGCTTAGTTCAAAGGCATTTATATATAAAGATGGAAAAATTGAAATTTCATACGTATTCACTTCCTGAGGCGATCAACCGAAAACATGAAATAGGATGGTATTATTTATTCAGTTATACATTTTCTATTGGAATACTCGGTTGGCATTTCCGCCGAAATGCCTTTTTATTCAACTTCAATTTGTTAAATAGCTGAGTTGATTTGGATGAAATTTGGCATAAAGGTAGGAAGGATGATGAACGTGGAAAAGAATAAAAAAATTAAGTTAAAATGTTATGATTGTGCCAAATAATTTAACCCTCCAGGAAATCTTTTGCTTCTATTTTTAAAACACTTTTCAACATTTATTCTATTGCTATCGACTCACCCTCGCTCCGCTCGATTTCGTCCCTAGTTAGAAGTAAATTAACGCTTACTTTAGATTTCTTAGATATGAGATATTTTCTCGCAGTAAAAAATATTCATTCATCATCATACTAAATTTCATCAAAATTTGTCCAGTGGTTTTCTTGTGATGAGTTTCCAGACATACAGATAGACAGACAAAAATTCTCAAAATTATAGATTCGGCCTTTGTATTGATAATAATGACTATTTTAATATGATTTTCCAAAAAAAAATATTTATGTACAGATTCAATTAAGTTAGAATTTTATTATATGATATAGATTACTGGCTCGCCCT